TTGGCTGTTTGCTGTTTAGTGAGGCCCTGAGGCTCCCAAGAGGTCCCTCGGAAACTAACGGAAAACCTCGGAAAGTTTTGGTTTCGCAGCCTCTTTCCTTGTGGGATTTATTTAGTGTTTAGGATCGTTTGGAAGGGTAAACGATGGGTCAGCAATATCCTTTTTAGCGTTTGAGAAATTTACGCATGGTTTGTGTGTGGCTATGCAATTGTTCTTCTTATTCTCTTGCTCTCACTCGCGGCCGCCCCAACCGCGGCCCGAGGCCGTCCGCGGTCTGTGGTCCATGGTCCGCAGTTGCGGACATCGAAAAAAACACCTGCACGTGTGAACACATGTTGAGATGGCAACCGCCATTGCAAAATATCCAACAACTAAGTTCCCACAACCGATCGCAATGGAGGCAGCTATATAATGCATCCGAGCCTCCATGCTGGATCGGGCGTACGCGGTTCTCCCTTTGAGAGCGAGAAGGAGAAAGAGAGAAAGCCAGAGCTTTGCTTGTGTTTGTTTGAAGACCTGTCGGAATAATCGTGAATTCAAACGACAGAAACCGCAATCTGCAGCTTGTGATTGAAAACTGCGCAGGATCGCTGCAGAAAGGTAATTTTTGTTTTCACGCAATCGGTTTGCAAAGATTCTGTGGACCATCTGGCGCATCTTGCGCGAATGGGTGGAACAGGTATCAAGCGACACGGAATCCTTCGATGTGCTGCGCTAGCATGGAAAGCATGCCAGTATGAATGTGACAGCAAACCAGCACTGGAATTGCTTGGTTGGAAATCGCATGCGGGATGATTCCAGGTTGGATCTTTGTTGGAAACAAAAGGTTGCACTTGAGACATGTTTGGTTGTTTCGCTGTCCCATGACCGCAAGCTTTAAGCTCGATTTACCATGGGTTGGTGAAGTCTTCGCGCTGTGAGCACAAGTGTCCCGTTTGCGTTTAATGCTGCAGAATCCGTGTTTCAGCTTGCTAGAACTGAGACCATTCGCGTTGTTGCAGGTGTCACTGCATTGGCCTTTTGTGAGCATCGTCGTTGTCATCTGAGGTTTTCCAGCTGATGGCGCTCCAGCTTCCCCAGGCCTGGACCGAGTTCGACGCGAATCTTTAGTGCTGTTTCCTGGCTCGATACAGGCTACCCCCAGGCGGTTTCCAGTCGCTTCCACTACCAGAGGCCTGAAAGATGCTTGTTGATTGAATTAAAGTTGGCGGATCGTGGACCTGTCAAGTTGCGTGCTGCAGGTGTCAGCCTTGAACAAGGGTTTGCTCGAAGTTCAGGCAGAGAAGTGTTACTCGACTTTGCAGCAAGATTGTCAACTTCACGTTGGTGGAAGGCTCAAGGCAAACCACATTTCACAGACGAGCCGTGTGCCCCTGAGTTGTGCATTGGGTGAGTATGGCTTGAGGGCAATCATTGTTGCAGCGCCAGCTCTCGTGCCCTTACGACTGTGTTGAGACAATGGCATTACTATGTTTGCAAATGACTGACTTTCGTTTTATGTGTGCATCATGAGAGTCTTGTGTGATTAGGACCTGGCTGAGACATCTCCAGCTTGTGTCAAACTTGTGTTCTCCTGCCGCTGCTGAGGAGCCGGTAGACACAATCTTGTTGGCATGCCTCGGTGGCGTGCTTGCCTCAAGGTTTGTCTTCCAAGTGTGTTTGCGAAGCTTATCACGACGTCCAGGTTTCGTGCCGGTTGGCCGCCAAAAGGGTCGGCCACAAAGGCGCTCATTCGGACTTCGAGCGACTCATTGCCACAGAAATTTGGTGCGAGGCCGTGCGCGTCGTGTTGCTCGATCAGCGGGCCTTTTGAACAACATCAAGGACATGTGATTGGCAGTATGTCCGAAGTGTGCGAGCATGTCTTTGCATATGACAGTGCACAGGATTTTTTTGCCAAAAACCTGGCGAGTGACGGAGGCTGATGGTGTGTCTAACCCGAGAGGATGTCGCGCAGCATTGTGTCAGGCAAAAACAATGGCAACCCAGATGCAGTTCTGGACCTGGCCCAGCCGATGAAGTGCTTCGTCGCTGACACTTGTTGTGCAGTCCATCCCTCTGCTTGCTGCCTGAGGTTAGAATTCGGGTAAGCTCCGGAATGTCGTGTGGAACTGAGACTGTACTTTCATACCAGTCAAGTGGGCCGCTCAAGCTCGAGGATTGGGCAGCCATTCTGCGGCGAGTACGAGGACTGGTTTGGAAAGGGATCCCAAAGCTTATTGTTTGCGAGATTTTTGCAGCTCACTCGCATGCGAGGAGCAAGAGCATCAGTGCAACGGGCGGCCGGTGTACATGAAGCTCGGGCTGCCCGCCAACAGCCAGGCATCTTCCCAGCGCTCTCTGTGACGGTGTGAGTCCTGCCTCCTCTTCCTCTTGCCTGAAACTTAGAGCCATGTCCATGTCCCCAGACTCCCGCTCCAAGCGCAACTCCGGTTTCTCGAATGTTTCGTTCAGCAACTGAGAGGAGAGTTTGCTGTTTCCACACCGTTGAGGTTTGGTCTTTTCACTTTGCTCCCGTTGCCCATTTGGCTTTGCCCCTTTCCACGCCACCACCGTTTTCTGGCCTAAGTTTGACATCGCTGCCTCAGGACGCTCGCCCACGCTTTGCAGAGTTGTTCTAGATGGCGCACCTAGCTTTCGCACATATGTGCTCTTGAGCTAAAATAGTTACTGTGGAACCGAACCCAAGCATAAACTGACAAGTGCCGCTGTCCGCCAGGTTCCGTTTAGGGTTTAGGGTTGTCTTACAGTCTGGGGGTTATGGTTTGCTCGCGCACTTTCGGGTCTTGCCGGTTCCGTTCACTTTGTCGTGTGGAGTTTGCGATGCCTTGCTTTTCTCACCATGGAGCACGGCGATGTACGGTTCAAACTGTACGACAGCACTTTGGGTTTTAGGGTTTGTGCCAGGATTTGTTTTTGATTTTTAAAACTTCGGTTAGAGTTGAGAATGCCAAAAAGGCGACGCACGATGTATGAGCTTATGAACTGCCACTCCAAAACCTGGTCTCCCCCGTTTTTTCGTTTAGGGTTGTGACCTTCTATCCCTGGAAGTACTGGAGAGCAGCCAGAAGGTTTTTTCTGTGAGAATCCTACGAGGTTTCCTGTAAGAGAGGCTCTGTGGTCAAGCAAGTCTTGTGAGGTTGTTCGCGAGGTTCGCTGTGAGGTGTGCCGTGGCTGCTACGATGTTTCTTGTGAGGGTTTGGTTGTTGTGAGGTTTGCTGTGAGGTTTCTTTGAGGTTTTCTGCGAGGTCCCGCTCTTCTCCACCTTCACTGTTGCCCTGGCCCCCGCCCCTGCCCCGCCGCCCGGCCGGCCCAGACCAAGGCCCGTGCAGCCCCTCAGCCCTGCCTGGGCCGTGCCCTCCCCCACCCAAACACTTCCCCGGCTTGTGAGGTTTGCTGTGAAGTTTCCTTTTCGCCCTGTTCCTCACCAATTTTACTCACAAGAATCCGGTTCCTCACAAGAAACTGTGCAAGCTTACGAACAAACTTTCCTGAAATGCAGTGATTCCGTGGCAAAATAAACTCACCAGTTTAGGGTTTACCATCGGGTTCCACCGCCCACCCCACCCAAGCTTTAAGACTGGTTCCAGGTTCGTGACCCCTTTTTGGCCGTGCTGGCTGTGAATGCGCCCATCACACTTGCCGATCCCCACTCCTTGTTAGGGTTTCGGCTTCCTTGCAGGGCTTGGAGCCTTTTCGGATTTGCGCTTTGCGATTTCCCATTGTGAGTTGAGGGTCGAACAAGCTACCGCGGAGCTGTGCCGTGAATATATATATATATATTTATAAATATAAATACAAATGTATGTCCTCATATAGTAGTAGTAGTACTGGAAGCGACAACCTGCCAGCTCTGCGGAAACAGAACAGGGTTAAGTATGTCCTCATATATATGTGTGCGTGTGTCTTTGGTTGTGTTGAGTGTTTTGTGGCTTCCTCGCAAAGCCTCGCAGAACCTCCAAAGCATTGCTTGTCCTAGCAGAAGTGGGGAAGAAGTGGGGATATGCGGAACATGCTTGGCTATACAAAGATTGCAGCTGTGCAGGCCGCCATCGTTAGTGTGTGTTTATGCAGTCATGCCGACATGAAGGCCGTCTATCTGCTCTACAATGAAGCCAACCAGTGGGACGGGAACTCAGATTCTGTTGTGGCTTAGCATCTGGGTTTCTTCCAGATTGAGGCATTTACGCCCCATGCAGATGGACGCCCCGATGGGTGGGCGTTTGTTACGGATCCGGTTTCGATCTTAACGTCTTCAGTGGCTTCTCAAGCTCATCTGCATCGTTTCTCACGGACCGAAGGCGCTGGATCCGCCGACGATTGCTGGTACATTCAGCATTTGGGTCCGCCCATCGGATGCCACCAGTGGTTTGCCGACTGGTCATTCTCGTCTTGTCGGCAGCTTGTTGCTTTTCCCGTTTTTGGGTGCTCTCGGGTACTTCAGGTCTCCACATCGGGTCACCTTGAGGGTATTTGCGGATTGTTTCGTACAGCTGGTGACAGCCCGGGAAGCTATCGTGCGTGCGCATGTTTCCACAACAGAAAGCTTCGGGCTGCCTCAGCTCAAGGCCTGCGTTCTCGTTGCGTCTGCGCAAAGGTTTACTTGGCTGTGTCCCGATGATCGTAGCCAGTGCAGAATTGCAGCAACGGAGTTCGGGGACACGCGGAATCAGCACACAATCCCCCAATGTGTCTAGACAGTTGGACCGCTCCGCATTTCCGTTCTGAGAGCAGTTTAAGTGTGCCAGAAACGCACAATTGCATCACATCAGATGGCACAGGCAGAGCTGCTTGTGGTATCTGCTGCCGCCCATCCTTTTTCGAGCCCCTGTGCTGCTTTGTTTTCTCATGATCTCGAGTCTGCCCCTCTGGGTCAGCGTGTCCCTGCGCGGCAGACTTGCTGGATTGGACTGCGGGGCTGCGTTCCAAGCCTTTTGACTTTTGCTGGGATGTTTCGGATCTGAGCATCATCCGGCAGTGTTTTTGCCGAGGCAGTCGGTCAAAGGATTGTCACGCCAAGCACTTGATGTCGCACGCCCTTCAACCACCTTCGTGCCAGGATGGTTCCGAGTGGGTGCCTGACACCACTTTGAAGCTGCCGGAATCTCAGAGCTGAGCATAGTCGCACAGCCCTTGCAGAATCAGAGACTTTGACTCTCTGGCACCAGGCTGGTACCTGGCCAAATCCCAGTCCAGGAAGCCGCGCAGGTCGAGGTGCTACGCCTGCAACTCTCAATTTATAATGTGTTGTTTCAAGCATGGAAGCAGCAGCACTCGGCGAGGTCGTGAAGCAGCCCTCCGGATTGCAGGACAAGGGACTGTCTTGACTGATGAATCATCATTGGTGCCTTCAGCAGGATATCGAGCACGCAGAGCCAGCACAGCCGGTAATTGCGCAGACAGCACTTCCAGACAAGGTCGCGGGCCCACATCTGCAGCTTGGACACGAGTTGTCATAGCCTGAGGTCAAGAACTTGAGCTTGCTCCACTGGAAGTCTCATTGGAAAGCATCTCAGTTCGCCACCTACAGCAGGGCAACCTCGGTCAAAGCTTCTCAGCCAGGGTGATGGCATGTTGCCTCCCAGGCGCTGCCTCGTGAAGTGGCCAGAAGGCCCACCAGATCTGGAGAAGTCCCTGGCTCTGTGCACGTGAGCCTCAAAGGACCAAGCCTACAAAAGTTTGAACCGAGGAAGTTGCTGCCTTCTCACCCTGGTGTGCGCTTCGCTGGCCTGCTTGTCATCTCGCGGGCTTTCTGGTCGGTGCGCAGTGTGGAATCGCCGCGTCCATGGCAGGTCGTGGGGTGCTTCCGAACGGACTGAGTGGGAGCCCAAGCTCGAAGCATGTCCTCGCCCTCGTGGCCTCATGCGCTCTCGCGGCGGTCGTTGGCCGAGGATACGTGGTGCTTCGCAATGCTATGCCACCGAAACGCTTCGAGGCCAAGACCAAGACAAGAAGCGGAGTAAGCAACTGAGATGCAGCGGTCGTAATTCTGCCAGGCTCACATCGAGCTGCATGTGGGCAGCATTGACGAGGAGCCGAGCAACCGAGAACCAAATCCTTCCTTCTTCAACTCTCGCAGAAACATGTCACCGTCTCTTAGCACCGCAAGCTGGCAGGATCCAGATGAGCAGGGCATTGCTCACATGATGGAGCACGTTTGCTTCCTGGGCAGCCGTAAACGTGCTGTCGCCCAGTGCCAGCTTGCAGCGTCGGATCCGGTCTCCGGTATATCCCTGAGGAGAGAGATTGATTGGCACTGGATCCCGGTCCAACGCCTTGACAGACTTCCAGTAGCTCGGCAGCGATACGGCGATTCGACACTGTTCCTTTTCAAGAGAGGACTTGGTGAGCAAGCGGTCCCAGGCATACCATCTACCATATCCACGCGCCGGTCAAAATGGAAGATGGCCGATCGATGTACCCTCTGGCTTTAGAGGCCTCCTCTAGGCTCTAGCTGCTTAGACTATAGGCCATATGTTCTGCGGGTTGAGACAGGCTTCGACTGTTGGGTCTGGTGTTGACTTGTAGCAGCTGTTGCAGGCCTTGAGTGAGATCGCCTTCGGTCCCGAAATGCTGAATCATCGCATTGAGAAGGAGCGCAAGGCCAGCTGAAGCATCCTTCTTGTTGCATCTCCTCCAGCTCCTCCTTTGGGTGAGGCCGTGCTGGCAGAGATGCAGCAGGTGAATGTCCGCATCTGAGGATATCAGGTCCATCAGCTGCCAAGCAGGTCTCTGATCTTCTCTCGAAAGCCAAGGATATGGAGTATCGTATCGAGACTTGGACGCTCTCGGGCCTCCACGAGACCAACAAGCTGGGATCGCACGGCCCCGACAAAAGGGCCCCTTCACGTCCATCAAGCTTAGAAGGCGTTTGCGGAGCTGTTGTTTTCCAGGCAGTTTCCCATCGGGAAAGAGGAGCAGATCAAGGCCTGGCAGCAGAAGGACCACATGCAGTCTGTGCGCTGCTTCGTTGGCGCCTGAGATGCTTCCTAGCCCTTCCTTTAGGACCTTCGCAACTTTCACGAGAAGTGGTACTATCCTGGAAATGCCACGCTCTATGCCGTGATCCCAGCGGCGTGGCCGGCCAAGACACGTGCCTCCGTCGAAGTACATCGAGACAGGTCGTGGGAGACTTGGATGAGACGGAAATGATCGACGGCATCAAGAAGGCTCCTCAAGAGCGGAGGCAGGTGAGAGTGAGAGCTGAGATGGGCCAGGTGTTCGAGCACGCACAAGCGAGACACAAGCTGTTTCCTCAGTGGGCGCAGAGGTCGTCAAGAGGACCCTGATGACCGGTCTCCACTGCGCGCTCAGGCCATCTCCGGACTCTGCCATCATGGACCCTGTGTGGGGCGAGGCCAGGTGCCTGCCAAAACCAGTGGAAAACCAGTTCATGGCCTCTGTAGCCCACCGGGTGTGAAAGGAGTCGGCGGACTCTCGATCTCTCTTTCGACGTCGAATCGCCCGTCACCGACCCGAACAGCTTCACAACTTTAGTTCGGAACTCGACCTTGTGGAGACATGGTCGCACTTCTTGGCGGTGCAGCAGTGCAGCAACTCAGGCCTACCGATGATTGGCACGAAAGACGTTTTCACAAAGGCTCCTTTCTGGCTTCCTGGTGTGTTCAAATCGGAATCGTGTGCCGTGTGCAACCATGGATGAGCTGCGTCATAACCCTGAACCCTAGCCACCCTAGCAAGCACTTCGATTCGCCCTGGTGGCTCAAAGCCGGCTTGGTACCGCCTTGCGCAGTCAGAGGAGCCAGGCTCCTCGCGGGGCATCGGTGTCTGTGCGCCGACTCTGAGCCCTGCTCTTTCAGCCTTGCCGAAGGGCCGAAGAGACAGAAGATGGCGAAGATAATCTACACCCACACGGATGAAGCGCCGATGCTGGCGACCTATTCTCTCTTGCCGATCATCCAGGCTGGCTGCAAACCCTCGGCTTGTTGCATTTGCAATATTTCGAAGGCGATGGTCCGATCCTCAAACGTGCGGGTGGAGACGTCGGACATTTCTGTGGCAGCAAGGCGAGCTTTCGTGCAGAGACTACTTTCATGTTGGCATTGCAGAAGTGCAAACGAGGATCATCGCCTTGTTCCCAGAGAAATTACGACCTCAACAAAGACTTCGAGATGCTCTATCAGACCTTGGGAAGCTCTGTCAGAAGCCTGAGGTGCTCCGGCCGGAGTAGCCATGTCTAGTGAGCTAGTCAATTAAATCTGCATAATCTACACGCTTTGCTAAGTATGGAGCAACAGGCCAACATCATCAAGCTGCCGAATGTCAGTGCTAGTGTGCCGCAGTTGAAGGTGCAGACTTGCACTGCAGCGCATGCAGCTGTGTGCATTCTTGGTACCACGGTGATTTGCCCGAAGCTCCTGCTTCTGTCAGGAAGCCATCAAGGAGCTGCAGGGTCAAGGCTATGGCATTCCCGTGACTTGCCGGAAACAGTTTATGCCCGCTCGGCCCAAGGCTATCCTTTTTTGATGTCTCCCGTCGCCCCAGGACTATCCTGAAGATCCGAAGGATGACGAAGAGAAAAAGGTGCAAGAGAAATACAAGAAGGTAGGAGTGCCGGAAAGTTGGCAAGATTGGGTGCTTTGTGCAGTCCTGGCTCCGCCCTCAACAACCCTGCTGGGCAGGTCTTGGGGAGTGCAGTCAACCCCGTGCTACGCGAGGTCCGGAAACCACGCGGCGACGTCATGTGATGTGAGAGTCCGCTGGCAGTTTCAGTCGCTTTGATTTGGCAGGGAAACTCGGACCGACGCGCTGCTTCGAGCGTGAAGAACTATGCCAAGAAGCATCCGCACAGGAGCGCTGTGGGGGACCGTAGAATCGTGAGGGCCCGTATTCGCGGTAGCAGGGCCCGTGAGGGCTCCTGGGTTTCGCGATGCCAGGATGGGTGCTTGGACTGCGGACTCCAAGACGCACGTTTCCTCCATGACGGAGGGTGAGCCGGGAACGGGGGTCCCTTGCAACCCCATTCAACTCAACCCCAGAGCTGGTGCTGGGTGGTGTGCGTCTGTGACACTTGGTGACCTCACACTGCAAGGGGACTTCTTCGGAAGTGAGCGGTCAGTGACGCTCGAAGCCGACACTGACGCCGGAAGCCGATTTTGCCAAAGACCTGGCAGTAGCCAGCAGGGACATTTCATGCCTGGTGCAGGTCAAAATCGTCTTCGAGTCGGATGGAGGGTCCACGACGACCTTGAAGGCTTTCGTCAATCGTCGTCTCGTCTGTTTGTACTTGTACATCCTCCAACTGCGCAGTTTGTTGGGAGTGCAGGAGAAATTATCGCTGGTGAAGGGAGAGATTTTGGATGCTGCTGCCATGTCCACAGTCAAGCTCAGGGAATATTTGGAGAAGGACCTTCCTTGAAACCCTCGTTGCTTCACATCAGAACTCTAATGACCGTGCCGCGTGTTCTGTCTGGCGAGGAGATCAATGATGCGAAAGCTAAGGACGTAATGCTGTCCCTGCACCTGAAGGCCACCATGATGAAGGCGCGGGGCTTCGGGAGGGCCTTACAGTCAAGCACTGACTCAGTGTGGGGAACGGGGCACCTCAGATCAGCGACCCGATCCTTTTTGGGCACGTTGTCAGCATCTACTTCAAGGATGTTTTTGTGACCTGGCGGACACAATGGGCTGGCCAGTGCGTGCAGCCCGCTCCATTCTTGGTGTGAGCGTAGCACGTGTCCGAGGCAAAGTACGAGGCGGAGTTCAAGGCCTTGGGTGTGAACCCCAACTTCGGACTGGATGACCTGTACAAGAAGCTGGGCTTGACTTAGCGTAGTTTCCTTCCCATATCCCTCAACACCCCAAGCTTCCAGGAAGCTGGAGAAGAGCGAGAAGAAGGCCGAGATTGAAGCAGCCATCATGGATACGTACAAGGTGAGGAGTGCATAGAGAGGAGGCGCAGAGAGGGAAGTCACAGCAGCGAGGTCCAGCCACGACTGGCAATGGTGAACTCGGACAAGGGATCCTCGGCCTCGCTGAGCGAAGCTGCACCCCGCAACTTTCTGCCATCTCAGGAATCACGAACTTGCATGTGTCCAGCAATGCGGCTTGGAAGCAACGTAAGCTGCATGCTGTATAATGTGGGACAGGAGCAAGCATGCTGGAGTATGGGTACTATTAGCGAGAATGCAGCGAGCGCCAAACTAGAAAGCACATCAACCAGAAGCGAAGCATTGATGGTGTACTTGGAAGAAAGACCGTGGCAGGTATCAGAGACTTCGAGTCACAAAGCAAGGATAGCTTTTTTTCAGGATCCTCCGACAATTGCAACACCACCACCACCGCCATCACCACCATAACCACTATCTCAGACTGAGCGAAAGTGGCAGAAGCACAGTGCAGATGTATCAGATTTAGCATGAGGGACAATGCGCTGTGGGGTGGTCTCGATACGCTGAGCAGCCGTAATCCGATGGCACCATTTTGCTCGACGCAGTCTGTCATGAGTCACGTGGCCTTCATGAGACAGAACACACCTGCATCGCATGCGCCGAAGACCAGCCAACGAAAATTCACCTGTCACTCCCTGTGCAGACGTTGACACTATCATTCTCCCTGAGCTGTCCTGAACTATGTCGCATCTGCGCTGCTTCTGAATTGATTATCTCACAAACATTGCGGCTTCTTCATGTCGTTTGTTGAAGCTTTGTTGCACAATGACATGCACAATGACACTGCCAGTGGGGGCGTCCGGGTTCAATCGATTGTGACTCTGTTGGCGGAATGCTTTTCAGGCTATTCCCCGGATTTGTAGGAACACTGAGCGACAGGTCATCATTGATGCTTCCATGCCGGCAATGATCAGAGACGGCGGCAAGATGTGGAACAAGGAGATAGAAAGCTGCATGCAGTTTGGTTGGTCTTGCGCTGTCGCTGGTAGCCCGGCAGGATAACAAGCTGGAGGACACGAAATGCCTTATCCCGGACCGCTGCTACGCAGGTGTTTTTCAGACTGTTATAGCAGCCTGGCCGGCACCTACGAAGTACGAAGACATGAATTGCCGTTGTTCAAAGTCAGTGTCGCCCGAGACTACGCGACTGAACACTTCGGAAGCTCGATAAACCCGAGAATCTCTGAAAGCCATGCTTGGAAACTAAGGAGTTTTGCAAGAAAAACGGAGCTTTCAACCCCAGCACTATGGGCACCGCTTCTCGGCTAAGATGGGTTGAGGATGTGCTCCCATTCTCTGTGCGATCAGCTCGGATGCGAAGGTTCCAAATGTTGGACTGATGGCCCAAAAGGCAGAGGAGTGACCTGCTGGTTCGAGTTCGGAAGAGTATGATCCGAGTGACACACATGAACCATACAGCCAGAACCAGGTACGGGTCTCATGACAAGACCTTCGAGATGAAGGAGTCCGGCACGGTGTCTTGGCAAAGCATGACTGAATGCAGTTTGTGGAAGCTGCTTCTCTTTCAGGGGCAAGTCGTTGGCTCCGCAGGTGAAGATCATCGATTCCTCCGGCAAGGTTTTGCTGGAGACCAAGGCCAGGGCCGCCAGGGCCGCCAGGGCCGCCTGCAGCCGCCTGCAGCGTGCCTCGCGGGAGGGTTCCTGAGACAGGTGGGAGCCGGGGACATCTGGCGCGCGTGCCAGACCAAGGATGTTGCGATTAAGGAGCGCCGTAAGCAGTGCCTCGGGAAGTGAGCGCACACCAGACGGTTCCGGCATCATGCTGCCATCCTGGTCTGGTCGCAGCCCGCGCATGAAGGGCGAGCCCTCATGTCATGGCCGTGTTGGATCTCGTTGTGCGTAACATCAGACGATCGACTTCTGAATGACTCTTGCTCTAGTACAGGTTCTGAGCATGACAGAAGATGCATCCTGAAAGTCTTTCGGAGGACTGGGTGAAGCTCGCCATCACCAGGGCCAGAGCCTCGAGCACTCCAGCCATCTTCTGGTTGAACAAGGACTGCATGGCGATTTAGGGGCTCCCCGTATTTGTGTTGGCAATGCTGGAGCAGGACCGAGCGCATGATGCCCAGCTGCAAAAGAAGGCATGCGGGCAAGGAGAGATTTGTATCAGCTTTCGGAAACTCTGCTGCAGTGTGTGCAGTTCGGTTGAACCCTGAAAGGTGGAAGCGTACTTGAAAGACCATGACACTTCCGGCCTGGAGATTAGCATCAAAACGCCCGAGGAGGCCTGTATACGGTCGCATTCGCCTCCAACAGAGACATCGAGACGCAGACAGGAGGGGAGAGGATCCCTGATGTCCTCAGAAGAAGAGAGCGAAAGAGGGGGCCATCAGAAGGAAAGACGACAAAAGCCATACTGTATTTACAAGTTCGCTCGAAAAACTCGGAGATGCTGAGACAGCAGAATTTGCCCACTCGGAGATTTGTCTGCTGCAAACCGAAGCATCATCACGTGGTGGAGAGTCACAGGTTGCCACGCTGTGCCGTTTCTGGCCGAACCAGAGAGTGTGAAGACTTGTTCTGGAGGCCTGCCTGGAGTCCTTGCAGCGGGCCAAGGATGGCAAGGCAGCCCTGAGGAGGCTCTGAGTTTTGGTTCAGTTGGCTGTCATGGTGTAGCCAGGACACCATCTCCGTGACGGGAGACTTTTCTGCATATTCGAGACCTGCAATGGCGCTCGTTCCTGCTTGACATTGTGCCGAGGCAACGTGCTGCGAGACTACAACACAGACCTTTTCCCGATCCTGGAGCTCAACACAAGTGTCAGTTGCTCTGTTCTCCTTGGAGGCCCAGGTGATCCCGGGTGCTCCGCTGAGGCTAAGATGCTTTCGATCGTGCCGATGCTTGCGGGCGGCGGCATGTATGCAGCTTGTCCTGGAGTCGTGACGTGACGCGACGTGAGTCGTGGTTCTTTGCAGCTCTGCGATTCCGTCTCTGAGGAGACAGGGGCTGGTGGATCTGCTCCAAAGCACGTTGAGCAGCGCCTGGATTGAAATACTACTTTGCATGGGAAGCCTGCAATCGCAAGATGTTGCACGCTCCACGCATTTGCGCAGCTGTACTGTAATAGATCAGTCTTAGGTCATAGATGCTCCCCTGTGTACTGTGTGCTAAAAGCTCTCCGCTCAACATGCGGTTGATTCAATTTCTTGCATGTCAGGTTTGTCGAGGAAGGACATCTGCGTGACAGGCTTAGCAGAGGAAGCCGCCCCGACGGTGCCTGGTACACTGCTTGACTCTCCAGACATCATTAAGGCTGGGATTCCTTGGGCGAGTTCCTCGCCCTGGAGCCATCATTGATGGACATTGGCACCAAGGGTGAGAACAAGAAGGACCGCATCGTAAGACTATAGCAATTACATCGCGAGTTTCTCTAGGGGCAGAGACGGCCGTTGGGTCTCATGGCTCAGGCCATAGTGCTGTCCAAGGCCTGGCGACAGATGCGACTCCGATTCAGCCTCTTTGGCACTTTGCTGAGTTTTGGTCAGGCGCTGGGGGCGGCCATCGAGAAATTCTTGGAAGAAAACAAGTCGCCCTCGCGGAAGGCTGAAGCCAGGGTCGGACAAATATGCTCAAGTTGCTGATTATGTGCAAAAGCATGGCCTTGGAGCATGCAGAGGTAAACGAAATCGACAACCGTGGCAGTCCGTGGCCCATGTAGATTTTGCTCTTTGTTGCTGGTTGTTAGCTTGGCAATCCGAGGCCACTTCTACTTGTGTCTCTACTGGGTGGAGGCTTTGGCCAAGCAGGATGAAGACGAGCAGCTGAAGGCCTGCCTCCCTACCCTCGTGTACTTTCTCGTCACTGCCTGCGGGTGTCAGAAGGCCCAGTTCACGGCTGGCTTGGCCAAGCTGAAGGAAGGCGAAGCTCAAATCTCAGAGGCTCGAGGGCCAGGTTGGCAGATCAGATTCGCGATCTGCGAAGTTTCTGGTTGCTCAGGACCTGGTGAAGTGCCAGGGAAAGCCGGTAGACATTGGTGGCTCCTGGGAGCAACAGTCTGGTTGTGACATGTGGAAGCCAGTCGATCTCAGGGGCCTGCATGCTTGCAATGTTGCTGGATGCTCATATCCCAGGCTACTACCATCCTGATCCGCGGAAATCACGCGCCTTGTTGATGTGATGTGCAGTTCTGTTTCCAGCCGTACCTGACAGGTGTGTCTTGTGCTATCCCAGGCACTGCAATGCGACCAAGTGATACTTTCAACCGAGCCTTACCTGTGACTATGTGGATCCGCCTAGCTGAGCTAACCGCCGTGTTGCTGCTGAACCTTCTCCACCATGTTCCATGCACAGAGGAGTTGCGGTGTGCGAGGCACTTTGAACTACATCATGCATTGGAAGCCCTTGCGAAAGCCGACTTTTACGAAGGTGAAGCAGGCACGTCGCAACCCGCAGCCCAAATGACTTGCCCTGTGACGAGTAGAAAGTGGAAAGTTGCGTTTGTGTAGATCGAACCCGAGCAGCGGGGAGTGAACCTGATGCTGCAACTTGGCGTTACAGCAGTTGGACATTCTCGCGGATCAGTTTCGTGGCAACACGCTGCTAAATGTCCTGCCCAAGGAAGTGCGTGTCGTGCTCCGAGACCAAGGCAGAAGGCAATTCCTCAGGCTCCGAGTGGTTCCGCTGCTTGCGCAGCCTTGCGTCTCATTGTCCCGCATTCTCAGCCTTCTACGCTGCAGGTTTGAGGATTTGGGAAGCGAAATGCGGGGATGAGACCGGCTCAGTGACATTGTCGATTCGGAGCGAAGAGATTGCAGAGGCGCATGTCATAAAGCGAGATGACGGTGCGTGTGAGTGATGGTGCAGCCAGGTGTGCAAACCGGATGCATCCCTGAGACTGCAGAATGCAAGAGTGCGGGGCTCAATCCTGATACGTTAGGATGCCGATGGGCTGATACACTGGGAGCCTATCCTCAGGTTGTGATGGTGAAGGGCTTCATCCGCCTGAATGTGGACAAGTGGGCAGTTGCTGGGTTGGCATTTGAAAGATGCTAGGTATCTTGACAAACTCTGATAATGTTACGGTACCTGTTCGGGAATATCACAAGCCTGCCAAATGTTCAACGATGTCCGAACTGAAGGTTCTGAAGCCCGCAGAGACACCTGTCGAGTTCAGCGTGGACGGGAAGAGCCTGTGGCTGGTTGATGTCAGTGGTTCTACCAGTTGCAAGTCTTCACGTCTTTGTTGCGTCGGGTCATGACTGTCGTCTTTTCGCTCAGGAATGATATCTCCGCTGTGGAATATGAGCTTACAGCTGCATAGTAGGGCTTGGAGAAGCAAATGCTGAGATGACGGAGCTCACATGCGCGGTGCCGTGCCACGTTTCCCGAAAGGGGCAAGAGCGCGCCCCGTGGACGTGAGGCTGTGGTGCCATTGCTGTGCCATCGGGGCTGCTCTACGTAGTTTTGATCCCCCTCAGCCCTCAACGAAAATCTCGTGGGGCTCTGAGCCGTCCACCGAAGGCTGGCACCTGAGGACTCTTAGCATTCCAGCGATTCTAGGGCGAATGTAGCTTTCATTAGAAGTGGCTTGCCAACGCAATGTCAGGATTGCGGGATTCCTCCAACGTGCTCAGATTCAACTGTTTAATAGCTGCCCTATCTGTTTCCGAATATTGCCAGATTGGCGTGTTCAGTCCTGGGAGGCAAAAGGAGTGACGCGAGTTCCCATGTCTGACCCACTCGGTCTGCAGGCTGCCGCCTTCGATCCCGAAAACGGCGGCAAGTGGGGCCCTCGGGCCCCTGGCTCTCTGAACAAAGCGTATGAAAGGTCATCACCGCCCAAGGCCCTGGCACGGACCTCTGCGCATCTTCCGGAACGAGTTGCTCGAGGGCCTGCAGGCCACGAAGACTGCGAAGCAACAGCCCATCCAGCTCCTGCACTTGTTCCGTTAAGTGTAGTGAAATTCCGCTGTGCAGCTCAACTTCTACGCCAAGATGCCAGTGCGCCCTCTACGCACCTACGAGGAGCCGAGATCTGCATGGCATTGCAGAGTCATGCAATGCCTGGCAGTAGTAGCTTCAGGACATTCGGAATCTCATCGCTGTCCGAATCCTCGTGGGCGGGCACCTCGGTGCCTCTGAAAACAAAGCGCTGTGCATCGCTCTGCCCGAAGAGGCGTCCTGCAGTTCCGCATTGTCTCGCGGTACTCCTCGAACCATGCCCCTGCCAAAGCTTTCCTGTAGAAGGTCACAGCAGAGTAGAACAGGCCAGCAGATTCTACTGCAGGCACCCGTCCAAATTGATCACAGTGACTCCTTCCGTGAAGGCTGTGCTGCCCAAGCCTTAGCGATGTCGACGATATATCATGCTCTTTGCATCGATGGATGCTGCTTTGCCCAATGAGTGACCCGTCTCGATGCGGTGAATCAGATCCATGAGGTGACCTCAATCACGGTCAATGCGGATCCTCGGGACTGGCGCAATGCTCTGGCCTGCGTACTGCAAGAGGCACAACTCTGTGTGGTTCGTGCACCAGACATGTCAAATCATAGGTGCAAGCTGCTCGCACCACATTATCTCACAATGGCCGCTATCGGGTTATGCCTTGCAGATTCGTGCAATCTGCGACTATGGCATCACTGAAAGTGAGATGAAGCGGTACATGGATGCTATGCTGAAGGAGATGCGTCATGAGCCTCAAGTTGATATCCACAGATCACAACATGTGGGTGGCCTAATTGCCAACTGCCGAAGGACGTGCAGAAGGGTGTGCAAGAGAATGACACGGTGCCCTCAGAAGTTCTTTACTCGGCAGCGCTGCAGCTTGTGCTAGCATGATAATGTGGGTTGACATTGCGGAACTGTGCTGGAGCATCCTTGAGGATCATCTCAACTTCATCATGACAAGCGATGTCTTCGACCACGCAAGATGCTCATGTTACGTGCAGGGTAAAGTTTTCCTGATGGATGGGGTGTGTCTTGGAGGTAGTCATGCACCCGGAGCAGTCCTACGCTGCCTTTAAGGAGGCCTTCCATGTGCAGTGTCGGCTTCGTGTTTCGCAGACGACGCTGCATCCCCGGTCCAGGTTGCTCCAACTGTGACCATGGAGCAGGCCGGTGGGGCAGAACTCTTTGATCTGGAGAAGCGAGCAGATGCGGCAGAAATGTCCCGAGTTCTTGCTGCGATTCGTGGTCCTACCCATGGGCTCCGACCGGAATACCTTGACGGAAGCAAAGAGTCATCGTGAACAAGCGCCCGCCCAGCAAGATGGATCGGGATGCCCCAAATGGGCAAAATCCCTTGGCCGGGACAGGAAATACTGCGGTTGACGCAGAAGGTTGCATAAACGTCCCGCCATACTCACCTGAGCTTGACGACCACACATCCACCTGCGAGACCACGCGGAAGTTCACCCACCCTCAACAGGAAGCTTGCAGAAATCATATCCCGGAAGCGATTGCAGGATTGTCATGCAGCAGCAAAGGTCAGCATCACACTGGACCCCTGAATTTCCAGATGCTGACTGCTTCGCGAATTGACAGCGTGTCTACGCCGAAGCTTTCTTTTGGGGTCCCGCCGAATTGACTCCCACAAATCCGTTCCTGCTGAGCGACAACCACCTTGCGAGTTGAAGTCTCGCTCTGCATATGGTTTGTAGTACTGCTAACAAACAGCACGAGCAAGAGCATAACCTGTCTGAGCATCGAACAGCGCCCGGCGAATGCTAGCTCATTGTGTACCAACACGCGACCTGTAGCGAACAAGTGTGAAAGTCTTGTCAACGTGTTCTCCCTGCAGATGGATCGAGGCAGGAAATGCAGGGAGCTAGGAAAGTCCCGGTTGTAGCTTGAAGCCCACCCTCCGCTCGCATGAGCTCCTGCTGTGTAGAGCTCGGGTGTTGCGTGGTAGATCAGTCCCTGCATAGGTTCATGCAACAGCCAAGTGGATGCTTGGTTTCATCGGCTACTACGGCTTTGCTACTGCACCCCCGGTAACTGCCATTGTCGTGCGCGGGCCTTGGAATCCTTGGAACAGTGAATCTGAGAGCAAGGGGGGAGGAGATGGAAGGGAGAAGCCCCAGGTGCACTCCAACGCAGGTCTACGAGGACTTGCTTGCGAGTGGAGTGCTGCGAGTGGTAGTCTGCACTGCACAGAGAACAGCCTGCAGGAGCACACGGGCAAATGGGCCGGACACTCTGGGTTTTCATCATAACGAGCTTCATCATACCGAGCTGCTGCAACTTCTCTGGACAGGTCCCCTTCAGCATAACCGAGCAGGAGATCGTAGAGCTGCTCATTTCGGTATCGCCCTGAGGCTGTGACTGCGTCTCGTCGGGAAGTGTGGTGCTTCCGCAGGTACCTGACAAGACGAAGGAGGAGGCGTTGAATCAGGCGCGGTCGCTGCAGGAAGCATTCCTTCCAAACCTGTCACGTTTCGCTGCCCGCGATGCAGGTGGATGTGCCGGAAAACCTGCTAGCAGGCCTTACTATTCAGTTCACGACCTTGCGCGGCATGCACTAACACCATGCACTAACACAAAAGCATGAGAGCAAGTATGCACAGAAGAAATGGATACCATTCAGCTAATCATGAAATGTTGCTCTCATTGGTTTTCGAATTGGATTGTCGACAGCTTCCTTGCTAAACCGGCGAGGAGACAAGTTGGAGAAGCTGCTGCCACCGAGTCCCATTGATGCCATTGCCTTAGGTCAACCGGAATCACGAAGCTTGTGTATGATGCGGTTTAAGCTGCCAAGGCCATGACCGCATGGAGGGCGTCTTCACGAAAGGCATCAGTAGAACTGTCGAAGGCATTTACACTTGCTGTCATCGCAGTGCCAGTCCGGGCAGGTAGATGATGCCACAGGAATCGTGCAGCTCATGTTGCCGAATGGGGCGCGCGTAGCCCTTGCATGACTCAAGAGACTGTGCCAGACTTCTGGGATGGGAAAGATTCTGCGGAGGGCCCTGTCGTGTATGTGGGGTGGGGGTCGGGCTGGTGACGCGCAGAAAGAGGCAAGAAGGCACGAATGTTGCCTGCCAGTGACCAAGCATAGCTTCTTTCAGCTAGCTGCTGGCTGTCAATATGTGCGACACGTAGTGTAGTAGATATGTAGATGGAAACCAAATATGAAACAACACCTTTTGCTCAGACGAGCCTCTTGCTCAGTGCCGCCGCAACTTAACTGCTTGTCTGTCGCACCTGCGAGGCGCAAGGTCTCGTGGCAGCTGGATTGCTAGCTGGTCCAGTTTAAGGGGGAAAAGTCAAAAAACGATCCAACTAACCGCTGTTCCGATCTGTCCCGCGATCACTAGGGGAATGTGCCGGAGCATGACAGGATGAAGGCAGTCTTGTCACTGTTTGCAGTCGTCGAGTCGTGGCAGGTCAATTATGCATGCACTCCGAACGAGTCTCAAGGCTTGGTCCTGCCACCCTCAATGGAAGTGTTGCACGGCAATAGTCAGGAACGATGCGCATGCTGGTTCCTGGTGGTCGGGTTGGTGGCTTAGATTCTCGTGTCTCTCCTGGTCCCAAGACTTACTGCTCTGTTGACCGCAGTCCTCGGACGAGCCGGATGAGCTGGCTTCAGCTATGGTTGGCATCCGGCCCACTTGACATGTGCTTTTCTTTCGGTCATGGACAACAAATGACTCTGCTGCTGCCGTGCAAACCAGCCTTGCAAATGGGGCATCGTCTCTGCCTCCCGCTGGTTTGGTGTGAGTTCCGCGGAAACTGCCAGGACCATCTCCGAATCCGGAGCTGTTGGGGACCCAATTTGCAAGATAGAGTGGAACTCTCAGCATTCCTGTCTGCAGAAGATGGACTTGGCTAAGGTCAGCGACTTCTCGCGAGAGCAGATTGAGCTGTTTGCAGTCTCAAACTTGATGAGTGTCCATCTGGTGAGCTGCTCAGCGCCGGCTTATTTTAACAATATTTTGGCTTATTCTAACAATATTTTGTCTCCAGCCTCTGCGAGAGAGGACTTGAATCTCGAGTTCTGTTACATTGATGCAAACTTCACCAATACTACGGGTGGCAGCTCGGCTGCACCAAGTCTTTCGTGCGAGTTACCATTCGCAGCGAAGCACCCGCCTGCTCCTGTGAGTCTTGGTTGCAGGTTTGACAGCTGTCCGGCCCCCAACTGACTGAACTTCAGGTGCTCCGCACCCTCAGCTAAACATGGTAAGCACACACAGTGTCCAAATGAGTCGAGCAGAAGCGTAAGCACGCGGAGTCGAATGCTGAGGTTTTCGAGCTGCTGCATCTGCTCTTCCAGGAACTTGTGTTTCCGTAGCTGGCTGGGCTGACCAGGTCCATAAGTTGCCCTCTCGTTCCAGGAGCCACGCTGGGAGGTGCCAGCCTTCGTGAGGGCCCAGCAAGCCTACAAGGACTGGGTGGCGAAATGCTGTGACATGTTGTATCTCGAGGTTTCACCTTCCGCTTGCTTGGTCCCGGCAGGCTCAGGCATACGCCGTCCAGAAATCCTTGGCTTTTAGCTTATGCCCGCACGTCGCGACTACGAAAACGGAATGTTCGTGGTTTGCGCTGAGGAGCAGAGCACCATGGATCGGCTGATGCGGATGATGTACTCCGCGGCTTGGCCGCCGCTAACCTTTCTCTCTCGTTCAGCGCAGCGCAAGCCATGCAAGCCGCTCCTGGCAGTTGCAGGACCCGCGTGTTTCCGAAGCGAAGATCGACGACCTCAACAAGCTCACCCTGGCCAAGGCTGGTGCCCTTAGCGGCCTAGCGTGACCCTTTTGGGGATTTCTGCTCTTGGAAGCTTTGGCCGACGCTTTGCAGGTTCGCAGAGCTGTGAGTGGACAGCTCCGACCGCAGGACGATGGGGTGGAACAAAATGCGCAGGTGAGGTTGACTTCAGAACGTCTGTCTTCGTCTGCCGCATTGTCAATGTCTTCAGATGCGAACCTGGTGGATCAGTGGACTTGTGTTTACACTGACCCTTGAGCGAAGATCCTTGGTTTGGAGTGGCGCCCGGTGAGACTGTCGGTACCATTCGCACAGCCTGAAGGCCACTTGAGCATGCTGCGACCGACAATCCAACTCGTAGTAGCACCGCCGCACAGAAGTGTGACCGTCCTTGGCCTACGTAAAGCCCCAGGCCAGACCCCGAGCACAGATGCAAGGCAAACGACAGAATGCAGAGCAATCGGAATACTGCAGCCAGCTTTAGACAGGGACTTGAAGGCAAGACTGTGTGCCGACAAGACTTCAGGAAACAAGCACAAGTTTCTTCCGCAGTGGTCAGTAGTCAGTAGTCGTTCGTGGTTAAAGCATCCGCCTTACATGATGGAATGCACCTCAATCGTATAGAATCGCCAGCAGACCCGAAGAGAAGATCGGAATCTGAGAAATGCCGGACGAGGACTTGGAGATCAACTTGGTTGCCGACTTCGAAGGCCGAGGGCATGGCAAAATGGCGAGCCGGTGGCCCAGAGACGCCGTAAACGAGGCCTCACGCGCAGGGCCCCCCAACAGGCTTCGGTCTTGTCAGGCGTGGAGGGCGGACTCAGCACCGGCAAGCATCGCGAGGCTTGCGTCCAAGCACTAAAGCAGCGGCCCGGCCCCCCAGAAATGTGCTCTGCACACACTTCTGTCCTGAAGGAGGGAGAAGTCGAACCGGAGGAGGTGGAGCTTCCCGAGGCAGCGAAGCAACGCAGGCAAGGCTTTTCTAAAGGGGCGCAACCCTCGAGAGAGGACTGGAGTGCAAAAGTGCGAGCGAAGGTTTCTGGAGCTGGACGAGGCTTTGTGGAAGTACTTGGGATCACTTCCTGCCAGCGAGGTCAAGCAGGTGGGGAGATCTCTTGCAGGGGGTTTTTGCTTCAAGCCTTTGCTTTCCAAAAACAACTTGAGGTCAACCTTGACCGCCATCCGCAGATCAACAAGGGCGAGGCCCGACATTCAAGAAGTCTTCTCACTGCAATGAGGGCCATGTGACGTGCGCACCCAAGGAGATGTCACCGGAAGACCGGCAGCGTTCAGCGCACATCGAGGAGCACCAGTGTGATCAGTGTGACTGATGGAATGCGGGGCAATCCCGACATGCTGCGTCAGAGCAGGACAGCGACGAGCGAGCGGTTGCCAACATCGGTGGCGGTGCACCAAACCGCTGGGGCAAAGGCGACAAGTACCATCAGGAGGCGCGCACTTTCTGGTGTTTCTTGCCATCCAAGCAGCGTGCATGTCCTCAGATGATGGTGGGCAAAAAGTTCTCCTGGGATGCACCGAATTCCAAGCTCAAGGATCATCCGCCAAGCCCACAGCCGGTCAGCCAAAACGAAAGCCAGAGAATTTGTGAGTCCACACCGAGGCTCTACCCGTCGATGTGCCTCATGGCCATGAAAGAGGTGGCTAAGCTTAGCGCTTCATGTCAGTTCAGTGGAGTAGAAGCATCCAAGCCGAAGCCAGCAGGTCATCAATACGCGGCTCTTCTCCACAGTCTGAGCCCCTGCTCGGAACTGCAGCAAAAACGCTGAGCACCCGGTGAAACTGAGGTGCGCGATTCGCTGGGATTGTCCTACGACTGTCGGCGTGGCATTAATTGCGATGCCATCACACCTTGAGGGCTTGTTGTTTGTACTTGGCCAGGTAGCTTTGAGCTCTCACTGTTCGACCGACTGGAGGCAAATCCTCTGCAACTCATGCAACGAAGTGACGCATTTGGCGGGGATGTCTCTTGACACTGCAAGCTGTCAGGCTGGATGGTACAGCTGCACCGTCAGCGCCCACCCGCAGCCACCTTAGTGGCCCACTGTTTCTTTCTGGCCGCACCCGCGAAGTTCGATGATTCAAGGTCCAGGATCATGGAGGCGGTGAACGCAGCCAAGGGCGTGCTCCAAGGACAGGGCAGTGCCGGAGTGCCAGAGTCACAGACGTGTCCGGCTCCCAGGCGTGAAGAGACGCCCGATTTCAGAACTGGAGCTCTCCACTGCGCGGAGGATCAGAGTCCACTGTTTGGCAGTGGTGCCAGACTCCCTGTCCTGTCCTGTCGAGGACATTGCTGCGCCGTCATGAGACCGAACTCCAAACCAACGAGCCAGCTCCCGATGCATGTCTCTTCTTTGCAGTGTGGCCGAAGGAAACCGGTGGCTGAGGTATTGGATCTCTTTGTTGACCCACCTGCAGTATGATAATCCAAAGGACCACATTTGCATTGGCCACTCTTGTTCCGGAGGGGTAATGTGACTCACACACGCTTCAGCATTACGACGTCGAGACAAGGATATCAGCTGCGTGCGGGATATCGAGATGATGTCAGAGCCTTCATGCACTCTCCGTCCGCAACTGAACGGAGTCGTGCCGAGCGCTCTGTTTGATGCTAGGCTCGATGCGCTGACATGGAGAGATGTGCAGAATGCTTATTTGCAAGAGCCCCAGCATGGGTTTGAAGCGCCTTTTGCCGATGGTCCCCCAGCCAGGACGCTTCTCACCGAGCCGGACCAGCTTTTTGTGTCTGTTAGCCCCGTCCCAAGCTGCCAAAAGCTGCCAAAAGCTGCCAAAAGCTGCCAAAAGCTGCCAAGCTGCGCTCCGAAGCGACAAAGAGAGAACAGCTCTGCTTCGCCGGACCACTGTGCCGTCTGCGAGGTCGAGCTGGACCCGGTTCCAGTTTTGTCTCTGGCGGTCAGACACTCATGCATCACAGACTGCTCCTCCCAGACAACTTCGCTCGAGGTGCTGCTCCGACCGCCGTTTCCACGAAGCGTGCTTTGAGCGAAGTTATGGTGGACTAGCTTCTTGAGGGCATAGCAGATGTCAATAAGACATGTCCCAAACCGCACTCGCAGTGACAGCGTGCTCCGAAAACTGGTTGCGAGTCGCTTCTGCTCTGGATGCCTCGCTCATGACGTATGGGGAGCAAGTGAATGTAGTGAGCCTGTAAAGTCTGTACAGCTACCGCCGAATTTTGAGCTTCCGCAGTTGGCCCCAGGCAGGACCCCACGAAGCCAAGAGCCGAGAAGCGCTCCAAAAGCGCAGCGGAGAGGGAATTTTTCACTCTTCGGAAAACACGTGGTAGCCGTGGAAGCTTTGAGACAGCAACTGCACTCGTGCTGATGCAATCCACGATCTTCTTGCTGTTTAGGGTTTTGGGTCCAGCTTCACGGCCACGCATGGCGGGTGTAGGAGCGATTCCAGTCCTTGCAGCTCCCGACAACACATGCCGCATCACTTGTCAGTTTGCGTTGTTGGGGAAATTATATGAATCACCTGCTAATGACTTATGATGACAGACAAGAAACATGTTCTCCAGCTTTGACTTCCAAGGCTACGTTCTATTCATTCTATTGTGTTGGAGTCTCTCTGTCCGTGCTGCGATCAATTCCGCATTTCGCGATGGTTTCTCGATGGATCTTTCAAGTTTCTTATGGTCGAGCATTTCGTGCCTCTTCACGAGAGGGTGCTGGACCCCACAAGAGCACAAGTCGTTCCCATCCAGTTGCTGACAGCCTGCAGCAGTTGGAGAAGCCTATATGCAATACAACCTCGGCGGACGTTTTGATACAGCGACTGCCGCAGAACTCTCGAGCAGTGATGCATGTGCTACGAGATCTCAGAGGCTTGAAGCGTCCAGATTTGATCTTTGCCGTGTTGGAAATACTGCAGCGATGGGGTCAGGTCGGCCTCAGGCCAGCACAGTACGTGGTTGGCATGGCGGCGTGTTCTCGGGCCAAACAGTGGCAGGAAGGATTGTGCATTTTCAATTGGATCCTGGAAACCAGAAATGCCCCGGATGTTATCAGCTACAACGCCGCCCTGAGCTGCTGTGACAAGGGCAGCCAATGGTCTCGGGCCTCTCGGTTCCTCGACTCCATGCCCAGAGCCGTGGTCCTCCCAGACGTTATAAGCTACAATGCCACCATCAGCTCTTGCGCAAGGCAAGGCCTTTGGCAACGTGCTCTGCATGTTTTCCGGTCCATGAAGGATGGTCTGCACCCGGTAAGCCCGAATGTGGTTACCTACAATGCCACCATCAGCTCATGTGCCAGGGGCAAACAGTGGCAGCGGGCCATGCATCTTTTTGAGTCCTTGCCGGAATCCGACGTTTCGCCAGATGTCATCACCTACAACGCTACATTGAGCTCCTTAGACAATGCCGCCGGAGGGGACTTTGCTTTACTGCTGCTGGACTCCATATCGAAGGCCAAGCTGTCCCCTGATGTCGTCACTTTCAGCACCGCCATCAGTGTTTTTGAGAAGGTTGGGCAATGGCAGCGCGCCTTATCCCTCTTCAACTCTATGGCCAAACAAAGCCTTTCGCCCAACGGAATCAGCTACAATGCCACGATCAGTGCGTGCGGTGGCAATGGGGAGTGGGAGCTAGCCTTGAATCTTTTTAGCTCCATGCCAAATGCTCAGGTTGTCCCAGACGAAATTAGCTACAACGCTGCTATCAGTGCTTGTGAGAGGAGGGGCCAGTGGCAGCACGCTTTGGAATTATGGATGTTGATGCCGTGTGTGCGGCTCTGCCCAAACGAGATCAGCTACAACACAACTATCAGTTCGTGCGCAAAGGGTGGGCAGTGGCAACTGGCTTTGCATTTGCTCAGCATCATGCCGGTTGCCAAGATTGCACCTGATGTCATTAGTTGCAGCGCCAACATCAGCTCCTGTGAGAAGCAGACGAAGTGGCAAATTGCAATTCAGTTGTTCGGCTCCATTTTGCAAAGCAGTTTGGTAGCGGACGTCGTCAGTTACAGTGCCACCATAAGTGCATGTGAGAAAGGGGGGCAGTGGGAAAATGCTGTTTTGCTGTTGAGCTCCATGCCAAAGGCCAAGATATCACCCGACGTCATCAGCTACAACGCTGCCATCAGCTCTTGTGAGAAGGGCAGCCAGGCTCAATTCGCTTTGCAGCTCTTGAACGGTATGTCCCGGGCCGATCTGTCTCCCGATGTCGTTAGCTACAGCGCAGCCATCAGTGCTCTTGAGAAGGTTCGGAAGTGGCCGCTTGCAATAGAACTGTTTGACGCGATGCCCAGAGCAAATCTCAAGCCCAATGAAATCAGCTACAACGCCACGATCAGTGCATGCGTGCAAGACGGACATTGGGATCTGGCCTTGTGTCTTTTCAACTCCATGGCAGCTGCTGACCTTGTCCCCAACGAGGTCAGCTACAGTGCCACGATTAGCTCCTGCGAGGAATCTTCTCAATGGCAGTTGGCGCTACATCTCTTCATGTCCATGCAGGAAGCTCAGATTGGGACGAATCGCCTCGGCTGCCGATCAGCGATTAGCTCATGTAGAGGGGAAGGTCGCTGGCAGCTTCTGATGCAGCTGTCGGCAAGAGCCCCAGTTTTCCGCGGCTAAGCTGGCTCCGCGCGTCTTTTTTTGGAGCGCGTTCGCTGTTCAAGCTTTCGATGGGGCACAGGGAATTCATTGCAAGGCAACAGACCCACTGAAAACAAGCGTGCCACTGGTACTCGAGATCCTCCTTCCAAATGAAGAAAAACGACGGGGAGGTAGTTGTTGGAAGACTATGACTGAACTCTTGAAGTTTTGTGGCCCGTTCCGTATTTACTTCAGCATCCTCGACCCCCCAGGCTCCGCTTGCCTTCATGGCTTCCCGTAGGATTCTTGGCAGATAGCTTTCAGCAGCATGGTACCGGCATTTCTGTACGTGTTTCGATCATCGTCGTTATTGTCCCGCAAAAGCCAGCCCGGGTGCCAACTCAGATTTGAGGGGAGCGATGCTATCGACGAGTACCTAGGTCAGGACCTAGGTTTTCCATGCATGCAGCTACCCGATCTATCCGCCTGACCTTTCTGCTCATGGGGTGCAGCCGCAACAGACCCTCATGTTCGACGTCTCGTTGGTGCCACGGTTTTGTCCGTGAGCATGGGTGGCATGGTGGGGGCAGGAAAGCCTCCTTCGCTGAGGGGCATCAGCCTGCAGCAGCATATTCCTAAGTATTTTTCCAACTTCTGGGGTCTCGACCAATCTGGTCTGTCGAGCGATCTCTGCACGCAGCGCCGCGAGCACTGCCAGCACTGTGATGCGGAACTGGACCTTCGTTTCCTTTTCCTATCTGGTCAACAGCTGTGCTTGCGATTCCGTTCCGTGCTTACTGCATGGCATGGCTTGGAAGAGGGGCCGGGGGCAAGATCTCAGTTGCTGAGGTCGGGAAGCGACGGTTCACACGGCGCGACAACACATTGCCTTCCTCTGTTGTGTCCCCAAGCAGGCACCCTTGTCTTTCCGTGTACAATGTACATGTTGAGTTCAGCTTCCTTTGCGCAAAGGCCGTGCAGCTACTTTGTGCTGGACGCCTTTTGCAGGAGGAGGCCTATCTTGTGGATCCTGTTTTGACTTAAGACAGCTGCCGCATGCCACACGACAGGTGCAACTTGCGTCCCTGGGCGGGGACTGCGTACAGGTCATCTTCAACGCAAGCTGCTTGCGCAAAGGAGGACCCGATCGAAAACGGCTTTAGTGCTCAATGTGGCGCATGCCGGATCTGTCAGCGTTAAGCTTTGAGGCCCCGCCGCTCAGCTGGCAAAGCTGGGTGTTTGGCATGGCTTAAAGGCCCTTGCCGACTTGCTCATAACCATGTTGAGACTCAGATACGACATGCATGTGCGATTCTTGTACTTGGCCTGACAGGTTCGATCGTGGCTGTTGAATTCGGTGGCCACCGAGTCCCATGGTGTTTTGCGACAGTCACACAGTCTTCGTGGTGACCGCAACTTCGCCTTGTGAAGATCCTGCAGTTTTCACCAGCGCCTCGACAACCTTTAGAAGCTTGCAAGGTATGAGCTTCCACTATTCTGCCAAAGATGCAGATGGCTCCTACGCGTTGGTTTCAAGCCGTCGGAAAGGACAAGAGTGCAACGAGAGCAGATCGTCTGATAGCTTTGCGTCCGGCAGCTGTTTGTACCAGGACATGCCGCGTGCCGACAGTTTGCACTGGGCATCGAGGCACTTGCTGCGTTAATCTTTTTCTGCGCAGGGGCTGTTATTTCGGCTGATATTTGCCTCGCCCATGCACCCATTCACCGGACGAGCTCGCCTGCAGGGATCATGCAATAAAGTGCTGCCAAGATAAGAAGTATCGATCCCAAACTGGCAGGACACTGCCTTTTTCGTGGGTGTTAAGGCTGGCTTGCTGGATCTTGCTCGGCATGATGTGCCTGTCAGGGGTTGGACCTGTACCGTGGCAGAATTTATCGGTGCCTGCCGGACAAGGAATCGTGCAATTCCTTGATTAGAAGCTGTTACTGAACTTACATGTGTTCTGCAGGAATACTTGCTATGTGACGGCTTGGGAGGACAAAGCTTTGCAGGCACGACTTGACACCATCCCACGAACTTTCGTTTTCTTGATGCCAGCGTTGCGGCAATCCTCTGTGGCACGATATACAAGGACAAGGAATGTTAGACACACTTTACTTCCACGAACCAGGCCGCAAGAAAGCAGCCCAGCCGGAGACGGAGATGCCGCACAGTGCACAAACAGCAGTTGGTGATCCTACTTGCATCTGCTTTCCATGGTTGCTTTTCGGGCAGCATGCAGAAATATTTCCTAAATATGACTGCAGACTGTCGCAGGTGACACGCGCGAAATGGGATTGTTGCACTTCAAGACAAAAAGGCGTGTTGGGAGGCTGCACATCGAATTCGCGATGCCGCCCTCAATGCAGGCCAGAAGAAGGGCTGTGGTTTGTTTCAGGGCAGCGGGTGGGGTGGTGAGCCACGAAGTGAGCTGCTTCGGCATCACGGACCCAGTAATGTACCCACTGCATAGATTGTTGAGGGTTGACTTTGCTCATGGCAACAGCAGGGCAACAATCGGCTTTATGCACGACAGGATTTCGACCAAACAGTGATGCTCCCGCAGCCTCTCTGGAAGCTTTACCGCGAAAGGAGGTGGGAAGAACTGCGGCGTGGCTGCAATTCGTTGAACCAGTGCTTGCCAACAGTCGCTCCTCTTCGTTCAGCATCAAGGCTCCGTCGATGATGACCCTTTCGTGATTGGTGTTCTTTATGTTCTCGGTATGCATGGGGTTTGATCTTGTCCCGTCCGCAGCTACTGATAGTCTGTAAGTGCTTGCTCAAGGCAAGTCCTGTCCGGCACTGCTGATGATGGGACCGTCGAGCTGCTGTTGGACGGTGAACGCATCTTCGAAACTAGATGTTTGTCCGATGGTATATGGGAGGTCAGATTTGGCCCTCCTTTGTCTCATTTCCAGGCTTTCGGAATTATGACCGGAGTCTTAGACAATGCTAGCTCCGCCAGCTTCCACAAGTGAAACGGCCATTCCAGTACTTGTCGCACTGATCACCCAGGGCCTCAAAGCGGGCCTTGCAGTCTGCTGCATCCCAAGAAGGGTTGCTAAAGAAGCACCAAGCTGTTTTGTATCACGGCGAAAGCCAAGGAAATCAATTTTCGGAGATGTGCCCGTTGTCCTTGCCATTTTTGGAGATCCTTACCACGATCGTAAATTTGTTGGAGATATATGGTGTATGCAAGGGTCCAAATCTCCAGTCTACCCCCAGTGCCAATGACTCCAAGTCTCATACATCATGCCAGAACTTGCAACAAAAAGATGGCGGTAAGCTGCAGGATTTCTGGTCTTGATGATGTCGACAACTGTTTGAACGTTGAGGTATGAGCTGCTTCTCAAAATTTATTTCAAGCATCAAACTACAGGTACATGCCGTGGAACTATGTGGGGTCACCTTGGCTTTTGAAGGTTTGTGTGGCTGTTCACTCGGCTCTTTACCGCAGCCTGTTGCAGGTTTCGAATGCAATGTTTAGGTTTCATGTTGCAGAGCACTACCAAGCCCATTTAGGGACCTAGTTGATTCAAGCTTGCTGGAAGCTTGCTGGTTGCTTGAAGTTTCCACGCACAAGCTGCAGCACAGAGGTGAGGATAGACAGCCAACGTAGAAGCAACTTCGGCCCGCCTCAGTGGAACAACCAGCCCCAAGATGGCAGCTTATCGCTTGAGCGAGGCACGGCGAGGGCGGCGACTGGACGACGAGTCACTGGCATCTCCGCGTGGAGGGAATCCCTCGCGGAGCAGTTCTCGCAGGTTAGAAGCATCTGTCGTCAACGACCGGTTCTCCACACAGAATTTGGTCCGCGACGTAAAGGCCGTGGCCGATGCTCAGGGTCGGCTTGTACGCGTGATAGAAGATGTTTCCCAAGAGCTATCGCAGCGCTTAGCCGAGCACGATCGCCAGCTTGCAGATCATTCCGTGAACCAAAACTCCTTACGCGATGCTCTCCACAAATTTCAGCTGGAAGAAGTCGCTCGTCATGATTCGCTTGCTGCGGAATACCTGCGGCTCCGAACCGGCGATGGGGACGCTGCTGCCAGGCTCACGTTTTTGGAGTCCAAAGTGGTCGGCATTGACAAGGTTTACGTAAGTCTCAACAACAAGTTTGCCGAGCTAGAACAGGCTGCAAATGGTCTGCCAGCAAGAATTCAGGATGTGCAAGTTATGAATCAAAAACATTTGCAAGACATGTACCAGAAAGTCCTTCGCAACATGGAAGAACAAAGAGCGGAATTCTTCCAATTCCAGGGACAGGTCTCATCACGCTCCCATTCCGATGGGCTCCTCAGTTTGCAGAAGCAGTTCGAACAGCACCGGCAAGAGTTTGATTCAAGACTCCAGGCAGTAGGCGCAAATGCTCTGCTTCCTCAGATGCAGCAGCATTTTGAGACAACCTTGCTGCAACAGCTGTCAACACACCGACAAGAGCTCGATTCCAGACTCCAAGCAGTAGGACCCGATGCTTTGCTTCCACAGTTGGAGCAGCATCTGGAGAAGACTTTGCTGCAACAGCTGTCAACTCAGCTGTCCTCCCAATTGCATCAGATACTTCAGCAGCAATTGGAACTGCATGTGCAGCCGCAGCTTCAGCAGCAGCTGGAGCAGCAGGTGCAGCAGCACTTGAAAGCCCATTACTCCGCGGGATTTCAAGAGCTGCGAGACATGTGTGAAACAGAAGTGAGGAGGGGCAAGGAGCTCGCCAGCCAGCTGAGGCAGCGCTTGCGAGAACAAGACGGCATTATCGCCGAGGGTCAAGAAGCCTTGCGCCAGGAGGCTGCGAAGCGAGAACAGCATTTGGCAGAGTTGCAGGATGCAGCACAGCGGTTGGCGCAGACTGCAATGGAACGCGCGCAGGCTTCCACTGAGGCGCATGCCCACGTCTTTTCCACATCCTCTTCCTTGGCGAATCGCCTGGCTGTGGTGGAAGGGGAACTTCAAAGTGCTCAACGCCAGGAGAAGGAACGTCAGCAAAAGAGGATTGCTCGACTTGAAGAAGACCTGGCGAAGTCGCCAATGCTGTCGCCGAGGGACAAAGCTGGCCCGAACGTTTCTTGGCCCGGTGCAGAGTGCGTTCAGATCTTTTCAAGTACCCATCGGCTTTGGGACAAGCCGTCCCGCGTTCTGAGGCTTTCATTGCATCCCGGGAGAGACTAGACTAGAAGATCTATGCTGTAACTGTACGTATCAACTGAGACTTCACTCTACGGCATGAATACTTAAATACATGCGGCGCTGAGGCTTTTGATCAGCCCAACCTTCTTCGCGCTTTAGATGAGCTTCGAGTTCAGGCGCGTTGTGAAGAAGTGGGCTTCATCCATGGACGGAGTGTGTTTTGAGTGCTGCCTCAAAGCTTGACTGCAGATCTTCGCGGAGCTCAGCGATGCTCGAAAGCACGCCCTTCCCACAGCATGCTGCAGCACAAGCTTCGGTTAAAAGCAGTCGCAGTCTGTCAAATTTCTCAGATTTTGTGCGTATGTTTTCGCCGGACAGGAGCCTCTGCCATCTGTTTGCGGTTGTGTTTGTGCTAAGTGCATGTTCTGAAAGCTTGAATCGGCTTCTTCAGCATGTCCTGATCCTAAGTCTTGGCATAAGGCTCAGCATCTCAGCACGAGAATTTCGAGATGCCACGCCCTCTGTCACGGCCCGGTGCAGTTTCCTCGCCGTAGTGGCTGCATCTTTTTCTCTTGTCTTTGTTTGCAACTGAGGCGAAGCCGGCGTGGCAGAGTTGCAGCAGGCTTTGCTCGCACGCCTGGGGTTGGGTCGAAGACGATCTTGATATGCAAGCATGGAGTACCGAGTGAAGTCCGGCTTCTGGTTGGAGGCTCTCAAGGTAGTAGGCTTCTGCGAGCTCCAGGAGGTCTTTCGGGCTGTGATTGCTGCGCCCATCGCGGAATAGCACGCCTTTCACAATGCTCACAGCAGTCTTTCTCGAGACATAACCACACAAGGGATACTAAGTGCACCTTCATGTGGACAAATTGTCGTCAGGTGCCCAGATCTTCGAACACGTTGCCTGCCTTCCTTGCGCAGGCATCTTGGCATGTGATCCAGCGACTTGCATTGCCGTGGCACGAATGCAGAGCTGTGAGGTTTCACGCTTTTGTTCGTGGCGAGTTGTTTCAACGGCATCGATGCACCTTTCAACACCATATGACCATATGTTGCAAAAGGACAGGGTAGTGCAAACTTGCATCTTTGTCCTTACAACTCACACGAAGCTTCCTTCATGCTATCTCTGGTTTGGGGTGGGGGTTCTTTTTGGGTATTTTTGTTTGTCTTTTTTCGTATCTTTTTGATTTTCGCCTGGATGGCTTCAAGCGCCAAGTCGGTCAGCCAGATAGTCGGTCAGTCGATCCGCTAGCCCGCCGGGCAGTCAGCGTCAGTCGATCCGCGAGCCCGCCGGGCAGTCAGTCAGTCAGTCGGTCAGTTCCAGTCAGTGGGTCAGTGGTCCGTCGATCCGCGAGCTCGCCAGTCAGTCTGTCAGTCGGTGCGTCGGTCGGTATGCGAGCATGCCGGTCTGTCAGTCAGTCGGGCGGTCGGTCGGTTGGTCCATGCGCCAAGCTCCGTCAGTCACTCAGTCGGACAGTCGGTCAGTCGATCCGCCAGTGTTTGAGATGTATGGTGAACCGATATCGCCAATTGAGGAGGCGTGCTTAAGACATGTGAGGAACCGTTATCGCCAAATGTGGGGGCATGTTGAAGATCTTTGATGAACCGGAATCACCAAATACGGCGGCGGCCTGTTTAAGATACGTCATGTGGTGAACCGGACTCGCCACATGAGGGCGCGTGTCTAAGACATGGTGAGCCGGAATCGCCAAATGAGGGTTTGTTCAGCAGGTATGATCAACCGGAATTGCCAAATGATGGGGTGTGCTTAAGATATATGATGAACCGTTGTCGCCAAATGGGGGGCGGGGCGTGTTCAGGATATATGATGCACCGAAATCGCCAAATGATGGGGGCATGTTCAAGATATATGATGAACCGGACACGCTAAGTGAGCAGGCGGCGTGTTCAAGATACATGGCGGACCGGAACCACCACTTGAGGGGCAGTGTCTAAGAGACATCGTGAGCCGGACTCGCCAAATGAGGAGCGTGTTTAACATGTATGATGAACAGGAATCGCCAAACAAGGGGGCATGTTGAACAGATAGGATAATCCGGAAGCGCCAAATGAGGTGTCGGCCCGTGGGATTTACAAACTGAGTGACCGATCGATAGCCGAAGACCAGTAGGCCAAACAGCATAAACATTCACCAAAAAGAAATCGAACACAGCCTCAGTTGTCGCCATCCCTGTGACTCTTGCAAGTTTTGCATATGGATCGAACCGAACAAAGAAAATACACAGAAAAAGCACAAAATACTCAGAAAACACCTGGACCCTTCTGGGATCCTGAGGAAGTTTTCGGACGATGCTGTCAAGCACCATTCTCGCCTGTGGAAGCCAACTTTCTCTTTACCCGTTTGACACAAGTCTGATGTTTCTTTGCGCACGCTCCATCATCTCATCCGCGGGATCACAAGCATTGCTTGCAAAAAGGTTTAGGCCTATGAGCCCCGAATGCTAGAGGAGCACGGCAGGTGCCACAACTGCCCAAGGATTTTTCTCTAGGGTACTTCGTGACCTCTCTGGGTTTCTCTGGTTGTCTTCAGGCTGCCTTTTTGCATCATGTGACGCCAACGGCTGAAAGTGTATGCTGAAGCAGTTCACGTTTGGGTGGTCCAGCGGTCACAGAGCAAGAGATTCTGCGTTGCTGTCACAGAGCCATGCAGGCGTCTCCCAAGCATGGTGCTTCGAACAGCGACAGTGCAAGTCTTGGTTCTGAGTCTCGGTGAATGTTCCGGACGACGAGCAGAGACCGTCTCAGTGTGAGTACCGTGCGTCACCCATGGCCCAGGCTGCCCTACCACACCTGACTGGCCAGTGGCTGCCTGGCCGGGGCAGGGACAGGCAGGGGGCGCGCCCTTTAACATCATAAGGCTTTGATGTGTAGACCAGAAGGCTGGAGAGGCAGCAAGCCTGAAGCTTACTCCACCGAGATCCACCGCAGTGGAATTTTTGCGCATCTGATGGAGGTTGGATGCTGGAGTGGATTCGGGCCGCATTTCCGACATTCGCAGAGCATAAGAGAGATCTTGCTGCTGTTGCAACAGCTAGCAGCGAGTTGCTGGTCCGGTACGTATCAGTGCTGAACAGACTCAATCTGCTCGACTCGCCTACAAATCTCCGCTCTCACCAGCACTGTCGCGCCAATAAGTTGCAGACTTCGGCTTCATATCGAAACCTTGAGTAAATCTTTCCCAGTCCGTCAGGGGAAAGCGCCGGGTAACCTTCAGAAAGGGACCCTTCTTGTGCTTATCTATCCCGTTCCAATCGGTGTCGGTTGCCCGCTCCGCCTCCGTCCATCAGACCACTGTGTTCCTCTTCATATTTTGCGATTCTCGCATCCTCGCTAGATTCACTCTTCTTCGCGCCCTATGCAAATGGTTGGGAGCGCGTCTACCCACAGAAACAGAGTTTGAATTCACTGCTTCAGGAGGGACACCTGAAAGGCTATTTCCTAGGTCCTAGGCAAAATCCGGCTGGACACCCAGAAATCACTGTCGTCGACCCCCTCCAACGCACGTACCAGCTCGAAGCAGCATTCCGTTTGGTCTTGAAGGAGCAACTGAGAAATGCCTTCCTTTTGTCGGTCCTGCTGTGTCGCGGGCTGAGGTCGCTCATCGAAGCTTTGCGGCTTGCCTGCACCGGATGCACTGCTCTCAGACCACGGCACCCTTGCTTTCGGTGAGGGGGGTTAGATGTTTGGAGTTCGAGTTCTTCCGTGTCGGCGGGGAGCGAAGTCCAGAGAGGGTGGGGGAAAGAGTCCTGTGCATCTGAGCCACAAGGCGCAGGGCAACCTTTTCTGCATCGTGGGTATTTGAGAAGCCAAGGCCGGTCAGACGAACGGCCGGGGACCGGCCTCTCAGGAGGCAGAAACTCCGTACACATCAAATCGTCCTGTGCCGCTATGACCGCTATGCATGTTTGGCTGATGAGACTCTGCGGCGTCCTTCGGACTCACCGACTCCCAGCTCTCCGAAGGTGCCGTAAAGGTGGTATCTTCAGGGAGCGAACCTCCGCACATCGCATCTGACAAGCGTCAGGCAACTTCTACTGTCCACTCAAAAGGCACGGCCGCTGCATTGCTGAGCATGGTGAGTGTTGAGCTTAAATCTGCATGAAGTCATCATGTTGCAGGTAGTGCCGGCCATGGCTCAGCCTTGCTTGGCCAGCGCCCCAGAGTGGAGAGCCTGTGGCCCCCTTTGACTCTGTCTGGGAGCTTCCAGCAACTTTGAACGCCAGAATTGCGAGGCAACTTGCCAGAGGGTCCAAAGCTGTCCCATGGAGCGCTGCAGGTGCCGCGGGGTGTCACTTGCAGTTGCAGCAGGGCTCCCTGCGCGATCCTGCGCACGTTGCAGGACTCACCCGGAAAATCTCCTCAAGTCGTCGCCCTATCAGAAGATGACTGAACCAAGCCAGCATGAGCTTCACACACGCGGGTCTTCGCAGGGCTTTGGCAGAGAGATGTTCGGTGCACTGAGGGATCCACGCGATTTGGTGTTCTGCCACCCCCGAAGGTGGAAGCGATCAAAGGGCCAAGGGAGCTGTTGGATCAGAGACAAGTTTCGGCGCTTTCACCTTGAAGCAAAGAGCAGCAAGGTCCAGAAGAAGCTGGCTTCAGATGCAAGCAGCCATTAAATTAAAGTAATTTGGTTGTCTGATTTGGTGTTGACACAGTCTTGTCCTTGGAGGTCACGCCGTCGACACCGCTGCCTTTGCAGGCCACAGAGAGCAAAGGCTTTTCGCATCAGATCGCATGTAAATGCTGCAGGCCGATTAGCGGCAGCTGATGCGTTCCTACTGACAGCTGAAGCAGCTTGTCCGTTCAATGCATGGAAAAATTCGATGTCTCTTCAGTCACGTACAAGCATGCCGAAGCCGCCGGCACACTCTTGGCAATCGTGTTCCGGAGCAGACCACACTGAATGTTGTCAAGTGCTAGGCATCCAGGATGTGCCGGACGCGCAATGCCTAATCGGCCTAATCTTCGTGCTAAAGTTTAGCGGTTCAGCGTCGAATTGAATTCCTGTCTGCAGCAGACCCATACAGAGCTTTGTCAAAGACATTCAGCTGAATCGGGGCCAACAGTAATCTCAAAGCATTTTCATGTTCTAAGTCGTTCTAGTTTGGTTAGGCGGTTAGACATGTCCATCCTTCAGCGGACGTCATGATGGTGTGTTGCCATCGGAAAGTACCATCATTGGCTCAATAATAAGGAAGCACAGAAAAGATGTCGCGCATGTACCTGTTTGCTCATGCCGGCATCTGCCTTGGCATGCTGGTGTTTGGGTATCTTATGCAGGACGCCGTGCCTTGCAGTCGCTAGAGACGGGAAGTGAATCTTTTGACTGCTCGAAGCTTAGGAAAAGGTTCGGGTCCGGGTTGCTCTTCGTTGAATTCCGGTTCCTTGAACAGTCGGTTGCTGGAAGTTTGACCTTCGGATTACGCTGTCAGCCTGCAGTATCTGGGGGCAGTTCAGCGACTGTAGCGACTCCTTCCTTTGAGGATGCTTTTTCGCGCATGCAGCCTCGGCCAAGGCCATGTGGCTGTGAGTCTTCAAGAGTTTCGAGCGAGCTGTTGGGTTTCCTTGCAGGCGAACCCCTCATCGCGGCTCCGAAGACCGGCGCTGCAACTCCGGCGATGGCTGAGGCTGCGACACGCCCGGCAATCCCTGCGATACCATCTCCAGAGCCGCCGCCCGCGGCACCGCCGCCCGCGGCACCGCCTGCGGAACCGCAGCCCAAGTCCGACAAGAGATGTTCTGGATGCGCCACCATGTGCACGACCGCTTGATGGACAAAGTCATCGCAGGGGACTACGAGGCGGGTCTGTTTGCAAATGTCAGGCCTTTCCTCAATACTGCCTGCACGATCAAACGAGGAACTGTTATCGATGTCGGGGCAAACCACGGCGTCTATGCCATTTTAGCCGCAAACATGGGATGTAGAGTCGTTGCATACGAGATACAGCCTCGTTTGACACCGCTCATCAAATACAATGCGTGCATCAACCACTTGGGTGAGTCTGTTGTCTTGCGTCCGTTCGGTGTGGCAAGCACTCCCGCGCTTGCAAAGTTCACAGCTACAGACGCCTCGGGCACTTACAAAGGTAGTAGTGTCGGCAACAGCAACCAGGGCAAAGCCTTTCGACGAGACACCGGATGGTTGGGAGCGTTTGTGAACAAAGGAGGCCGGGTGACGGAAGATGACCCAAGTGCTGTGAAGCTCGTGACACCGGATGAAGAGGGAATCAGGCAAGGCTTGGCATCAAGTGGGTCGACGTCTTTAAACTGGATGTGGATGGATTTGAACTGGATGCCATCAATGGTGCCTGGGAGCTGCTGGCACGTACGTCGTTCTTTCAGTTTGAAATCAATGCCGGGGACTGGCGTTCGCCTTCAAAACCTGTAGATTATGTACCTATGCTACTAGTAGTGCGTCTGAGTACACTCTTCAAGCTGTTCCTCTTGCATCCTAGAGGATCGGCAACTGGGAACAAAGCATATGGAAACTTGTATGCACTGTGCCCAGATTCGAGCGCCTCATGTATGAAGGGTTTCGTGGACGAGGTCGTTCGGTCGCAACGCAACGACAACGTCTTCTGCTTTCGAATACCTTGACCTCAATTCGTGTCGTGGTTCGTTGCCTGTTGACAGAGCTGATTTGCAGACGAGTTCGCGGGAAGCTTACACGGACCGCTGTGAGACACAGTGCAATGGTCCATCCAGGAAACCTGGCATCCCGTTCATGTAGCAGCACTTTGCCTCGGTTTTAAGAAAGCGGGCTGCAAAGTTATCATGGCAAAAAGCACTGCTGCTATCAGCTTCTCGAACTTGTCGAACCGAGAAACAGGTTCACCATCGCTGCCTATTCTATGAAACAAATCGCTTAAACCTGAAACACAGTATTCAAGCTATATCTTGCCGACAGTAGTGTTCATGACGCGCTTGCGCGCACCCTGTCGCGCGAGGGCTTGAAGGGTTTGTGGTGCCGCCCTGAATATATCTGACCTCGCCGCTGGCTCGCCCAGCTCTGTAGCTTCGGTCAACCGGCCAGCACCAGCAGAAGCATCTGGACAAAGCTGCATTTTCCATCGGAAAGACCTAGGAAGTCTGCAACGAGCATCGCGATGATTTCATCCCATAGAAGAGTTGAGCTTCAAGGAGAGAGCTGCGGTGGAGCAGGAGGGCAGACGTGAAGGGGCGTTGCTTTTTGGAGTTGCTCGCCTTATCAGCTCGCGGCCGACGCCAGCAGAGTGCCATGGGCCGGGTCGAGGGGCCTCACGGCTTGAGCTTGGACCGTTCAGCTCTGGGTTTGTGCAGTCGGGCTGGTTCAGGGAGTTGAACACCGAGTGAAGCACTCTGAATTTATGTTTTCCGAGCATTTGGTACCAATACGATGCGCAGCAACGCCAGATTGTGACAGATGCAGGGATTTGATTCTCCCGACAGGATTTCCGTTCGCAGGGGACAAAGCTCGAATGTTGCTTCCCGAACTAATCGAAGGTTCACCATTATGTGACACACGATCGAATCATCTTTCAAGAAGAAGAAGAAGTGTGTGCACCCGTCATGCTCCTCTTAGACAAATGCCTCACAACTTTTTGCACAAGGGTGAATCACGCCATTGGGAGTTTGATGGATCAGGTCTTGACACAAGTCGAATCGGCGATCCGTGCAGATATGAATGACAGTTAAGTTTGCACAGAAGAGGCCTCCGTTTGGCTGAAAGCCGGTCTCTAGCACTCTATGGTCGGAAGACTGTCTGCTTTTTGATGACCGTGGTGCAAGGAATTCAGATAGAACTCCCATCAGCTAGCAAGGCAGCCGGAACATCAGAAGATCAGTGCGCAGTGTGGGAATCATGGACTCCGCGAGCAAGTTTCGTTTATCTTTGCGCCTGTTTTGACTGGTGCGACTTGGAGTGTTAGTAGATGGTAGTAGTTCGCAGTCGAGCTCGACATGCACGAGGTGTGCTGCAGTTCCCCACACACGTCCACATTTAGTTGTTCTCTGCTTGAATCTTCGTTAGCAAAGTCCGAGGGTCCCGGGCTACACATGTTGAATCCAGAACCTATTCCTGCCACAGCCTAACTCTAAGTCGAGGCACGTGCCTGAGCTGTGACGGGAACTAGCGTCAAACACCCGTCATGCGATCGAAGAGGCTCCGAAAGACGGGCTCCATCAGCTGGTTGGTTCGAGCACTCATGGGTCGGATTTGGCGTGTTGAAGCGAGGCCGCCACAAAGAGGAATCATTTTTCAGGTCAGCCGGGAGCGTTTGCTGAAGGACGCATTTCGCAGCAAAGCCCGGCTTCGGACTCGGGAGTCGGGAGCTGACGACCCCGAGGGAATGCAGAGTGTTGGGAGTTTTTAGGCCAGTTTAGGAGTTGGAACCCCCAACTTGCATGGCTTGGCTTGCGATCAGCTCTGATTCCGCCAAGGATCGGGCCTCTCGTGGCCTCATACCAGATCAAGGTCATGCAAGTTTAGCACGCAGCTATCACATTGCATCACACAAGGTTTGTTACCAGGTGTCAGCAGCGTGAGCAAACCAGCTACTTGACATGCCTACCCCTGTTGTCATTGACGGCGTTCCGGTCCATAATTGAACTTGATGTGCCACCGACAATAGTGAGAATGCTCGGCGCCATGTTTTTTCGCTGTGAAGCTGCCCGAGTCTGAGCCCGCGTTTCTTTCATGCTGGCTTCTTTTGTGTGGTCTTCGCAGCCCTTCCCGGTCCACATGCTCAGTTTGTCTTCAGCTGCGAGGATGCTATCCTGGGCGGAGGAGCAGAGCTGTCAGAAGCCGTGCATGACTTGGCCGCATTTCTAGCATGGCACGTAGAATACTGCCCGCGCATTCTGGCTGGTGGCTTCGGTGAGTGGAATGTTCCATGCACAGGTGTTTGCCTCTTGTGACTCCTCAGTTAGCCATTCAACAAAACGAGCAGCATTCCATGTAATTATCTTCATCGTGCCCTTGCTTGCCATCGTGTTGTTTGTCGCGACGTCCAGCAGGTCAGACACTAGTTTCCACATGTCGCCCATGTCAAGCTTTAAACCAGGGCGACGCAACGGCAAGTCCAATGTGCGAGCAGGGGCCGGGGCAAAGCACAGCGCCAAAGCTGGTCATTTTTCGGCCTATGCTCGTGTAGCCAATGTAGTTCATGCGGATGCCATGGCCTCCAGGGGCGCCAGGCACCCACGAGCGCTCCAGGGTGACGCCGCCTTGAGTGCCACTGTTGACTACCTCTTCAAGGCTCCTTAGCTGCTCGTTTCATTGAAAGAGAGGCTGTTGTGACTGTTGCTTTTGTTTGGTCCAGGGCCTCTTCGCCAGCAGCCTCTTGAAGAAGCACGTTTCGGAGTCCATCTCGGCAGCTGTCAAGGAGGAGCTGCGACAGTTCTTAAGCTCCCGGGATGCAGAGAGTGAGCAGAGGGAGAAAAGAGGAAGTCTTCGGTGCTTTCGCTTACCAGCCGAGGCAATGCCTTCGCTGGTTCGTTTCCAGATATCCGGATAGGTGCGAAGAACCCTGCCAGAAGTAAACAGAGAAGGCATCCAGAGCTCTCAGTCTCTGCAGCACCTTGCAGGTCGTGACCTCCTCCAGGATTCCACCTTCCTCGGTTTCGAGGAGGTCGCCGATGCTTGCATTGAGCTGCAAGGCCCACGCGAAAACCCATGAAGGTGCTCCTAGCCGGGATCGAAGAGAAGGGCCTGGGGGGCAGCGACGCTCTGGTTCAGGTCGGCTGCAGCATGGTTCTCCAGTCACATTATGTTCTGGACGACATGCAGATTTCTGTGGGGCCTCAGATGCCTCGCAGGCAGTCAGATCTCTCCTGCCCGCGTTCGAGGAGGATGAGCGCATCAAGGCCTGCTGGTGCTAAGATGCCTTCCCCCGCAGTTCGCCGAGCAGCGATCCTGGCCAGGCCCTCCTTTCAGAGATCGATGATGCAGCAGGGCACAGTGTCATGGACTCTAATCGCGAAGATGCCGAAGAAGATGGGGACGGGAAAAGCTTTTGTGCAGGTTCTTAAACGTTGAGATCAGAGCCGGCAGGCATGCCACAGCCAGCAGTATGTAAAAGCCAGGGAGTGTGTGGCAGATTGTGGAGCATGCGGATGTGACCCTCTCTCGCAGTTGCGTGTAGGACGAGGACCGAGTCCAATTTGCGACCACATCCTTCGCCTCCAACGGTTCCGATGACAGGTTCAATGCAGCACGTGGCGGCCTTGAGAGAAGCCTTGCACAAGCGGCCCCCAATACTTCAGGTTTGAGGTGGACGCCGACGAGGTGGTGACAGACAGCTTGGTCCCTCTAATCTTGCTGGAGGCACAGATCGTGGAAGTCAACGAGTGCTGGCAGGGCTGGGTACTGAGTGATTTGCGGCAAGACTCTGAGCTCAGCCGTTGTCTTCTGCGAAGCCTCAACAATTCGCTCGCACATGTCGCGGGTGCATGCGGGTGCTCACCCGAAAGCCCGGCTGACAGCACCGGGATTGGGGAAGGACTGGGCTATCGACTACCAATAATTGCAGCAGCGTGCTTTTTGGCACAATCCGTTGATTGGTGATGCAGATTCATTGATTGCATCGTGGTGCTTAAGACTCGGCAGAAGCTTCTGCATTGCTGCGTCCGGTACGTAGCGTTGGCACACCGTAAACGATGAGGTTTCCTGGACTGTTACGCAAAGCCGGAGCATGCCGGTGAGGCAGAGTGCATTCGGCAGCTACGAAGCGTGAAACACATGTCAATGTTCGGATGGCTGCCCTTCGGAAGGCAATCTTCGCAGCAATACTGGATGCCGCTCCAAGTTTACAGACGTTTTTCCGCGGCGGTACTGCTCTTCTGGCCGGGAAGTTTGTGGCTGGAGCCCTGATAATGTTAAATGCACGACGGACCTGTCTTGGTAACCCACTGAGACAAGTTCGGTGTCATTCTGCGAGGATACAGCCAGATGGTACACAATCTACGGAATCCCGACGGATTGATGGGCGTGGTGCTGCACTGAGTTTCTGCCATGGGGCTTCCGAGATCTAGGCAGGGTTTGATGTGCAGTGGGTGCAGTTTCGCATAGTTTCTGGATCGGCAGCTTGCATTTTCATTAGGTCGAGCACCTTGGCTTTCAGCATCTGGACGTGGACATCAACATCCCTCGCATTGCCATTTTCAGCACTTGGCCTGCAACAGCCGTGTGGTCAGCGCAAATCCTGTTCCTGTATTGTCGTCCTTGAGGGCGCAACGGGTCTTGAGCTGTCTCCTTTCTGCTTTGAATCAGGGGAGGCTATGTGCGATGCGGCCACCTGGGGGCATTTGATTGGTGCACTCGTTGCTCCTGAGCCACTGGCGGCCGATGTGCCGAGGTGAGTGCGGAGCTGGGGGAGAAGCTCACGGATCTCGGTGCCTACGGGCTGCGGCGGCTCGTGAGCTATGCTGGTGCGGAGCCGATCTCTAGTGCTGCTTGGGCCTGATGTTCCTTGCGGCAACTTATCGTGCGCAGGCGGAGCATTGATCTATATCCGCGAGAACTATTCTAAGCGCTTGAAGATCATCAGCATCTTGGCAGCCGACACATTCGACTTGCTTCGCAGATGCGCGCGTGTGTGTGTGTGTTGTGTTTTTTTTGTGTGTGGCCCGCCCAGCTTTCTTTCTCTGAATAGTGTGCAAACCTTAGGCAACAGCTGGAAGCTTGCAAATGCCGCCGCCAAGCAAGAGGAAGCACCGCAGGCTTGGAGAACGTGATCCCCCTGTTTGCTTAACGCAGATGTTTTGATGCTTCGCAGGCGGGAGACCTCGAGGAGCGGTGTGCAGCAGTCAGCCGCATCTTGCGTACGCAGAGAAACCGCAGGACTCCTTGTCGGCCCCTTTGGAGACCAAAGCGGTTGAAGAGGAGGACGATGACGAGGAGGAGCAAGAAGGCGGCGCAAATCCGCAGTGGCTGTCTTTTGCCGTCCACGCGTTTCCAATTCTGTCAGGCGAGCTCGCGATCGCTGGCAAATCTGCAGCTGCGAGTGCCAGTGCCCCGAGCAAGAAGGGCTTCTTTGCGTCGTTGCTTGGCTGATGCTAGTTCTCCCTGTGACGGCAAGTGCCGTTAGAGCAGCAATTAGATAATTGGACAATGAACTAGGGCGCAGACGATTCAACGTAATCTCAGCAAGGCTATGTGGTACAAGGAGGCAGGTGGGCACAAAGATGCTCGCCGACAAGTTGGATCGAAAGCAGAAGCTGCAGGACAGGCATAGTCCCGACGGTGCTTCAATTCGATAATCCTCCGTCTTTGTGCCATCCTGACAGGAAAATCTGCAGGCGGGCCGTGGGACAAAAGGCCGGTTGCAAGATCTGAACCTTGGACTCTGAGGCCGTCCCTCGGACCTTCGACCAGATGTTCCGCTTTAATATGGCCGTCATGAATGTGCAAACACAGGAATGGATGTACGAGGCGCAGCGCCCACGTCAAAGAGCAGTGGGGGAGTTTTGCAGCGGGGCTCTTGGCAAGTCGCTGAGTCGCTACAAGGTGCTGGACTGTTTCGACTCCATCGTGCACAGCATCGCCCAGTCTCAGAGATTGCAGGAGCTAACACCTAAACTGCCTGAGCCAGTAGCCGCTGACAGCTCTCCTTCTGCATGCTTTCGTGTGCAATTTTGTGCCATCTGGCAGGTAGAATGCGACGTCGTCACGCTTCGCATTGCAAAAGCCAGCGGCGACGTCAAGTTCAAGAACTTCAGGGTCGCATGCCGAGTGGATCCGGGGTTCTTTTCAAGTCCCTCCGGCTTGGTCCCAGGCCGTGATGCTCTCGTCCCTTCGTGCCTTATCTCCGAAGGCAGTGCTTGGCCTTCTGCACTCACCCTCGAACTCTTGCCAAGCTCTCGCAGGATTGGAGCCCCGACCATGAGGTGGCCTGGAACTGGCTTTGGGAAACGGTGGAGCGGCTTCTGAGCAAGGTCCGAAGCTCGCCTCACTTTTTCGCTTCAGCAAAGCGGGCCATTCGGTGCTGCACCGGAGGAGCTCAAGAAGCCCCGCGCTCGCGAGCGCATCCTGGGCAGATTCCTAGGACGCCAGCGGGCTCGGGCGGCAGATCCAGTGGGCCACAGTGCATTGCATGAAGGATCTCTGGAAGACGAGCTACGCCAAGAGATCCGGGAAAAAGCCGCTCAGATAAAGGAAGACACGGCAACCTGTCCCGTAGACTGAGCCAATCCGCACAAAAAACGGGCCACTTGTCTGCGAGTCTGTCCTGGCTGTCCTCTTGAGAAACTGAAGGTGTTCGATCGTTTCTTCGAGTTGGCCCCTGGTGGAGAAGAGCACTTCAAACAATCTTCCACAAGCGCCTCGGTTGGCAATTCTCTGTTACTTCCTTCGAGTGTGTGGCCTTGTGCCATCCAGAGGATTGAACTTCATCGCGGACAAGGCCATCGAGCTCACGCTGGATCTGTACAAGGCTCCAGTCTGCGTCCCTCTTGTCGACTGCTGGCTTGAAGTTGCAAGGAGCCCATCAAGACTGTGGATGCAATCTCTGCCTTGGGCTTGCGACACGTGGGCTATGGAATCACGACGGACTTCTTCGATCCTTTCGTTGAAGGAGCCTGCAACCAGGAAATGCCCGGATGAAAGCCGCCCTGGGCTTGCGCACAGGCTGGACACAGGTCTTCCAAGAGCTGACAGGAAGCTCGGCGGATTGTGGTCAAGTGAAAATGGCACCACGACTTCATTCTTGGTGTGATGCCTTCGAGGCGACGACGATCTGGCAGACGCCTTTCGGTGGTCGTTTAGCCTGGTTGCCAAGCTCCTGATGAGGCAGCTCGGGTCTTCCAACGTGGTCGTAGAGGGGCGAGCTGCAATCCGGGAGGACCATCGAGCAGGGTGCGACTCTTGTCATGAAGGCCATCAACACAGACAATGCCAAGCAGGCTTGCCGGGAAAAGCCTGAGGGTTCTGACCGGCTCGGATGTCACAGCTCGATTGCTCCAGGTAAGGCGTGCACTGTCCTATGCTCCGCGTGCGAAACGGGCGATGTGGGTTCTGGATGTCACGGCTGCTTGGACCTTCAACGGTGATTTCGGACTTGTCGTCCACCAACATCCAGTCAGCGCATGCAACATGAGGTCGGCACCCAATCCGTTTCTCCGCTGTACATGTCCATAGATACGGGCAACCTGGAGGCCGCTAAGGCGGGTTCTGTGCAACATCGTTTCTTACGACTTTGCTTGACGGCAGAAGACCGAAGATCTGTTCCGTTGCACAGGTGATGCTGCAGGATCTTGTCACAATCCGCGCGGATCGTTCCAGGCAGCGGCAGCAAATTAGTGAACACACTCGACGCAAGTCTGTTCCGACTCCTCCGGACAGCATGCTAAGCCTGTTTCACACAGTGAAAAGGATCTTGTCAATAAACACAGTCATCTAACGCAGCTGCTGCCGCCAGCAGTTTGCAGTAAGAGCTGTGTGCAAGTTCGACGTGCCCTTCATTCAGCATAGCCCGCAGATTCGACATGAGTGCGCATCGTTGGCATTCAACGCGCATGCACGGGTCTTCATGTTGCCTTGACTTTCGTGTGGCATCAGCGAGACTGTACGCATTCGGGAGCTTTCGGTTACATGGGTTGTTCCAAAATGCAGCATATTTAGGCTTCGATGCATCAAGATGCCCGCGGCTTCCACAGAAAACTGTGCATGATTTCGAGAGAGACGTCCTAAAGTGCAGCATGCTGCAGCACATTGGAACACGCGACACATGACGCTTGCAGGTACTATTACTGTCTGGACGATCTGTTCAAGTGGCACTCTGACATCGTGTGGAAGCTCACCGTCGATGCGCCGGACGCTACCGCTTTTGAGTGTCCGACAGTCTGCAGGCATGGCTAGATCCGGGCTAGGTTCTTGACCCGCGGCATACCGCACCCCCCCCCCATGCAGAATCCCCCAATCGTGAAACTGAGATGCACAGCAGCTTCAAAGGGGTCCGCCAACTGCTTCAGTGCGCTCTTTCGCGAGGAGCTCCTCACGACGATGCTGGACGGCATGATTTGGAGGTTTGGGCTCTGAAGAGTTTTTCACCAGATATCAACTTACAGTGCTAGATTGGTTGAATGGCGACCGCTCGGGATCCTTGCAGGTCTCGAGTTGTCGTCAATGGCAACAGACGCGTGAACTACTACCTGAAGCACCTGTTGGTAGCAGCTCGGCAGGCAACTGTTGGCGTCCCTCTTCGGGCAGTGCAGACGGCCATGTGTTATCGTGACACTGCGACGATGTGGAACCGAGGATGAACACGGGAAGTTCTCCAACGCTTCCTGTTTCAACAGTCTTTTGTGGTCGCGGCGAAAATTGCAGCCTGCCCAGGCGATGAGCTGCATCGTGAAGCTGCAAGATCCAGAGATCGCGATTCATCCAATCCTCGTTCAGCTAGGTGATCTCGTTTGGAAGCCTTGCTTGCAAGGAAGGCAATGGCAGCATCCATCTCTGGTGCGTGCTCGAGGTCGAGTGTGCAATGGTTTGATGTACTCGCATCCATGGTCCAAGGAACGACCTGGTGTACTGGCGGTTTCTTCGAGGCCTTCTCACCAAACATATGACCAAACAGAGAGAGACAGATAGTAGAGAGAGAGAGAGAGAGTAAGAGTGTTACCTGGTGGTTGTCCCCTTAACCACCTGCAAGCTGCGCTGCAATGCAGTCTCTGTAAGAAGACTAGCTTCCCTTCTGTTCAGGTTCCTTTGGCTTCAGTAGGTTTCGTGGTGTTGGTGCTGGGGTTTTGCAGGGGGGGTCTTTGCAGTTTACTTACCTTGAACGGCAGAAGGGAATGAGCCGATTTCAAGCCCCAAGTCTGGAAAGCCGAGAAAGGTGCCTTTTGACCTGTGTGACCCTTCAGTCTTTCATGCGATTGCTTTGTACCAGGGCTTTCCGAACTTGCTACCTGACAGCACTCTGGGAAAACCCCAGTACAACCACTATGGTCTCAAGCAGTGGAACTCTCTTGCGGTGTTTGTCTCTGTCTGCCTTTGCCAGCTGTCTTGACGGCTTGAGACCCTAGTTGCCTCGGTGGTGAGTGCACTGAATCCCGCTCTTCGCCCCGTAACATACGGGGGGGCTGACGCGCGCGGGCAGAGGCAGAGGGCAACCTCTGCCCACAGCCCTGGCGACAGAGAGTAAGAGTGTTGTCTTGCTGTCTTTTTCGGGGGAGACTGCAGAAGTACGCCAGTCTTTGGTGTGGTGTCGTTCGCGGTGCGGGTCGCCCTGGGTGTTTCGAAATCGTCGTCGTCATCATCATCATCATCATCATCATTATCGTCATCATCATCGTCATCATCATCATCATCATCGTCATTGTCATCGTCATCCTCATCGTCATCCTCGTCGGCATCCTCATGATCATCATCATCACCTTCATCACCGTATCCCCATCGTCATCCTCATCGTCATCCTCGTCGGCATCCTCATCATCATCATCATCATCGTCATCATCATCATCATCATGTCCCTTTCTCCGCCATGTGGGAGAAGTATGCAAAGTCACCGGGATTCGGCATGTTTGGAGCTGGGCGTGCCGGGGGGATACCATGAGGGGGGGTCGGCCAACCGAGAACCGGGATCATATATACTAGAAGCATGCCATTACCTGAATTGCTTGGGAAAAACGCAACTAACCAGCTGCCAGCTGTGCGTTTCCAGCATTTATGCCATGTTACCACCCACGACTAGCACTGCAGCACCGCGAGCAGGATGACACTTACGACCAAGACGACAACAACACCAGGGGACCACTAAGAGACCAAGAAGAGACAGCAGGTGAGAGATCAGCAAGTGAAAATCACGACACCAGGACATCTCGAACAGACAAGCAAGAGATCACCAAGAGAGGAGGACCAGCAGGAGATCCCGGGAGACCACCAAGAGACCAGGAGGACATCCCCAGGAGCCAGGACACTGCCAATCTGCGTTCCCCTGGGTGGTGCATTGAGAACGACTCCCCGAAATCATTCCCAAAAATACTGGCGGGTCGAGGAAAACAATACGAGCTCCTTTTCAAGATCTCATTCCATCTCAATCAACGCAATCTACTTCTATCGCAAGAACCCCATAGTACATCACAGTGTTTGGAAAAAGGACGGAAAGCCCAACATTTCCCGATTGTCCGCATCGGTCTTGGCTTCAGATGGTTAGCTCCAAAACCAGTTTGCGAAAGACTAGGCCGCTAGGCTGGTGGACCCCGCCTGCGCAGGTTTGAAGCAGCCAAGCGTTGATTCCGTCGACTGAGCCGCACCTCCCAGGAAGCCAGGGAAAGTCCCAGAAAGTGAAGGAGATGCAGTCTACAATCGCAAAAGACGGCAGACTGTTGTCGAAGAAACTCCCAAAATTCAAGCTCAAGCTTTGCATTAAGCCGGTGCAGTTCCCACAAGTCGGGAACTGAGCTCACTAGGCTCCCTGCTTACTCCCCGGACATTTCAAAGCCACATCGGTGACTGTCCATCGTGCGGCCAGCATGTACGCAAATCAGAAAAGCACTGCAAACACCACTGACTTCGTTGGCAGCACATCCAACTAGCGCAGACAAGAAAGGCATAGGCAGAGATGCGCACGATTCACGAGCATGAGGGCCCAAAAGGAATGCTGGAACAGTACGCCCAAACCGGTGGCCGACAAAAGGCTGCCGGTTGCTGCGGAGTTTGTGCGGGTAACGGACCGAAGTGCGCCCTGCCTATCAAAGTGTGTGTTGCGCACTTTGGTTTCAGTGTGTCTTGAAGTAAGACTGAGATGATGTCGTCAGGATTTGGTGACTGTCGGTACTTCTCCACGCTGAAGTCACATCTGCTAGGTTGGCGTCTGCGTTCTGACTGTCGGGTCCAGGTGCTTTGGTTTGCTTTGCAGCATATCCTTGCACTGAGCATTCTGATCTGTATGGGGTACTATTTGCGGAGCGTACTTCGACAGGCCTCGATTCACTGATACTCCGCGATATGCCAAGACTTGACACACAGTTCTACAAAGCTTGCAACAGTCTCTGGGACAGCCCGCGTAAATATGGGAGAACAAAGAATCCAGCCAGCAGCGCTACCGCTAGAGTGATTTGCAAACGCGGCAGAGCCTCAGATTTTATTCTGATCGCCTGGCGACCTTGGCTGGAACTGAGGTGAGCAGATGCCAAGACTAGCTGTGCCTGTCTCCTGGGAGGCCAGCGACTGGCCTGGCGCTGCCATGCGCTTTGCACACCTCCAACGCAAGCGATGGGTTTCTCTGCTCTCTAGGCCCCCTCTAAAGCCCCCTCCCCGCCCTCCTAAACCCTTCTGAGTCGCCAGACGCAGGACGGCTTTCTCTGTCGAAAGGGGGCGGCTGCCGCCCGGTCGAGCTTCACGCAGCACCTGGCAGCTCCACACCCGCAGACTCTGTATCGAGAGTTAGGAGCGTTATCAAATCCGGGACCGAGGAAGGGCCCTTCACACGTAACCGTGGATTGATGGGTTGCTTCGATGTACCCAGTAGAGGCGTGCCAATGCGCCTCGACCCATACCTTCTGCAATTCCGTCCAGCCGTGCTCACCTGAAAAAGCAGAAAAACACACGTTGAGGAATTCTTCATCTATCCGCACGGAATGCTGCGAGTGGGTCTGACGTCAACATCAGCATAGTCAGGCAGAGACTCTTCAAGCATCGATTCCTCCGAATGCCTGCCCTTCGTTTCAACCTTGCTCATCGAATTAACCCGATCGCAACAAAACCTCCGAAAGCTTCATTCATCGCAGAGGATGCGGTGTGAATGCTTCCAGTTGAGGATTCGGAGGTGAGCTTGCTGGGCTTTCGAAGGACAGGGCAACAGTCAGGGATCTACAGCAATCTACAGCACTGCAGAGGTGCACCGAAGACTGCTGCAACTGGGACGGCAGCGTGCCAACCCAAGCCGCCAACGCCAAGCCAAGGCCTGAGCCCTCCCTTCCCCCAAAGGCCGCGCTTGAAGCTACTTGAGGCATTACGTTCATGTGACAAGACGCAACTCTGCCTGTGTCAGAGATGACGTCGTTGGCGACTCGATAACACCGGCCAAGCATCCTTGTTTGGGACAGTCAGCATGGTTGCAATGCGCGCTGCCCTGAAACCAGCTAGTTGAGCACGTTCTTACCCTGCGGAATGCCTTCCTTTGTGTGCTCCTGATAGCCCATGCATCCGTGCAAGACAAGGAGAAGCACTTTGCAGGCGATGGAACAATCGGATCGGGTCTGCAGGAACACGAGCAGACGTTGCGGTCATTCGAGATGATTCGAGATGTAGAGCTCAATTCCGGTTGCAAGAACGACCAAAGAAGCCAAGACCCCAAGGCCCGTGGGTGGACGTGGAGCTGCTCCAGTTCGAGCATTCTGGCATTCTGTTCTCGCCCTTTTTTCTCCCTTTTCTTTTGCGGCAGGGGTAACCTCTCTCTCTCTCGCTCTGCGTTAATGCCTGTTGTCGGATCACTGACTGCGAATACTGAAGCCTCCCCAAAACATGGCGTCCGGTATACGGTGTCTGCTGGGTATCCAAGATCTTCCACGGGCACCGCACTGCAGCATCTGGCAGGAAAGCAAAATGCCGAGTGTGTATCAAATCACTCCAGCAACCTTGGTGAGGTAGCTCGAGTGATCGTACAGGCATCGGTATGAGGCTGTGTAAAACGTTGGAGTGGGCTTCGATCGGGAAGGAAGCTTTGGCTGCTGCACCGTCGCTTCGCTTCTGGCCCCGAAAGCCTTACAAGCTTTGTGTTACGTTTCCCTTTTGCTGAGGTTCTTGCAGCCGCTCTCAGATGTGCAGACTGAAGCACCGCAAGGGCACCCGAGGACAGAGTGCTGCAGCCTGCTTCCCAGCGGCTTCAGCCCAAGGCCACACATGCTAGGGAATGTAGTTTCTTTTGCAGCAATATTGTTGCAGCCGGAAGCATTGCAAGAGCGTCAACGGTGGAGACGCCTCGTCAAGAGGCGAGCAAGGCATGCATGCCTGAACAGTGGCAGTAAGCCTGAACGCCGCGTGTTGCTGTTTCCAATGTGCAGTCGCGCCATGTCGTGCTGTTACCGAGAGAGTGGTTTGTGCTGGTTGCCTTGTTAAGCTGATTCATCACATCGTAACATAACACCCGACGGCAGTCTTGAAGCTGAGATCTACAACCTGCCATTCTGAAGTCGCCAGGCTCCACCCAATGACAAAGCTTTCATCGTCTCTGCGCCAAATTTCTGAGGCTTCTTGCCGAAATGAATCAGACGGGAGCTTGCAAGAGCCGCTTACCAACAGGCTTCAACAGAGTTCGTCCAAAGGTGGTCTCAGTCTTATGCTGAGCATCCTTAAGAGGCGCAGCGTTCAAGGTTGCTGGAGCTGAAATGACAATCGTACTGATGCTGCACTGTTACTAGCAAGCCTCGATCTGGCATGTCGGGTTGCCCATTTCTGCTGCCAATCAGCAGAGTCGGCTTCTTCTCGACATGCTCCATGCATGTCAAATTACATGCCGCCCGGTCGATGCAGTTGCCAGAACTACAACAGCCAAAGAGCCATGTTTCTTTAAATACAGAAACACTGAGAATCACACCGGAGCTAACCACTGCAGCATAGCTTGGCCTGGGCGTGCAAACTGTTGCAAAGACCTCACCGAGCAACCCCAAGAATTGAGAAGGAGAGACCGCTGCGGTCAGAGAGGACTTCACAGCGAACATGCCTGCACGCTGCCTACAGCGATCCGCCTCAGGTCGGATTCGCAAAGCCCAGATTCGGCCTGCAGGCACTTTGCTGCCAACTGCAACTTGCAGCACCTCTCCGCACACACGACCAACAATGCAAAGACTGTTCCTTCTCATGCTCCATAAACCGATCTGCAAACCCGTTGAGGCGGAAGCCAAGGCCACTTCCGTTGCCCAAGCTATATGGTCCTTTAGCCAGCCAACGCACATCAATGCAACCGCTCGTATCATCGCTATCAACTCCAGCTCACACAGGAATGCAGAAGTGGGTACCAGTCCTCATCGAGTTCTGCGCTACTTCCGCGAGCACCCATCGCAAGCTCGTCTCGGAAAGGAACACGAGGCAAAGCCAAGATGATGTGAAGCAATGAGTCTGGTCAATACCGACGAAAGTTTTGCATCGGCTTCACCCGCGGAGCGGAATGCCACCGCATCATCCGTAAGGCCGGATTCCCTCCGAGCACAGTAGGTCCGCGGCAAAGGCGTGTAAGCACCGCATGAAAAGCGTTGGCCTCGGTTTCAGCAAAGTTTAAACCATCGCTTTCACGCGCTGGTGAGATTCTCCACCCGAACCTGAAGCACTGTGCCTAGCTGGAAGCCTAGCCACTCGCAAGTGGCAGTGTGTTGTAGCAGACCGGACCTCGGATGAAGAGGCCCGATTGCCAGGCCGAACGCCAATGACTTTGAAGTAACCTCCTACATCGTAGAACACATATACTCTCGTATAATATGCATATGTAACTTACTAACCATCTGCACATGCGTGAATTTAGATATGCCAATATATGCGAGCAGAAATTTGAAGTAACATGTGCACATGCCTTTTGTGGAAACTGCTGTGACCATCTTGCTTGCAACAGCACGAATGCTTCGACAAGTGGTTTCAAGTAGCACCGCTATGCAAAGCTATGTTTGCCGGGGCAGACCTGTTTTACATTGGTCGTTGCAGAACGAAACCCATGTCAGAATGCTGTGACATGCCAGGTTCTTTGGTACTGTTCTGGCACGGTGGGTCTTGCCAGTTTTTCAACCAGTCCTGTTAAATTCTATCCATAGGTTTGCCGCCAGGCTTTTTTTGTCAGGGGCGACGACGTGTCCTTGGTTGCAGCAACAATGCAATGAAAACGTTGTAATCTACGATATCTCCGAAGTTCTTGTCATTTAAGGATATGTTGTTCGTAAAAGTGTGCGAAAGCTGTGTCCGTGTCCGGTCTGTCGCGACACGAGTTTCGGTCTCACTGGAGCTCTGAGGCTTGTCCCCTTCCATCGTAAAGCCCCGTACTGAAGGAGACTTGCCTGCCTGTCAAGTGAACCCCGGCCTCTCTGCTTGAGTCCGTGTATCGCACTGCAGCGTACTGAGAACAGGGCCATCAAGCGACAGAAGCAGATGGTGGCTTGAAAAGCTCCTTGCCTGGCTCGTGGCTCACGACACTTTGCAGGCGGACACTTCCTGAATGGCGCTTGCCTCACACGACGCACACCACCACGGCTGCGCATTGGGCTTCGGGCCTGTCGTCAAGAGCGATCCAGGGTCTTCTTGAGGCCTAATGCAGTTCAACTTCCTGGGCTCTGAGGGGCGGAAGTGTCGCGCACAACTTTTGCTTTACACGGAGCGAGCATCGCATCAGCGATGCTCTTAATGTCGAGTCCACGAACCGACGAATTCATCATGTCGTACGCAAGTGTCAGGATGCTGGAGGAAGGAGTCCGCATCGAGCCTTTGACACCAAGAGAGGAGGACAGCTCCACTTGGTCAGCAGGCTTGGCTCGACATCGGTGACTCCGTCCCTGCAGCATCTCGCGATGTGGAGTGGACTGTTCTAAAGCGTTGCCAGCATCTCACGAGCACAGCTCCCAAGCTTGGGAAGATGGCTGATGTAGGCAAAGCACACATTAATTACCGTAGGCACCGCTGCTGGCCAAAAGCCTTCAAATGCCTTCTGCACATCCCTGGACCATTCAAAGATGTGTCCGTCCTTGATGGCTTCCTCTTGCTCTGAAAAGGTGTTCAGAAGTCATTTCGGTGTCAACAGGGGTAGCTAAGAGTTGTGCAACTTCTGCCTGGATACGAATGCTTCTTGTGAAGCTTCTCTTGTGACGTGCGAGCTAGTCGCTGCTCTTCGGAGTCTGTCTTCTCCGGAGGCAAAGTTGTACAGCTCTGCAGGCCGATCCAGGTGATCGAAGGCCTCTGTACAGGAGTCGCTCACAGTCTAGTAGATCTTTACAGAGCTTTGCAAAGCGTCAGAACTGCTTCGTAGCAGCAGTCTTACTGGTCAGAAGGATGGATCCGCAATTTCAAATTGTGCCCTTCACCATGGCTTACATCCAACTGCAAGCAGCACTGTTCGCGCGTGGGCTCGCTTGCCCGGAGATCCCTTTGGAATTTCCACGGCATGCCACACTTTTACTTCATCCATGCTGATTCCCTAAAGGGATGATAAACCGTCCATTCGAAAGCGTGAATTCCCGCGGCCTGCATTCAGGGCTTGCCCTGAGTGCGATAAACCGCAAAGTTTCCGTGACATAGTGCTTCGCGCGTGTCCTCACACCATCTCGGCCAGGGCCGGAGACGGCTCAGAGCTTCCGTTTCCAGGCTCCACGCACAGAGACCTGCCTGCGAGTACATGCTGACGGCAACTGCACGGTCTCCAATCACAGCATATCTTTCCTGCTTTCTGTAGCTCCATGCCTCGCCAAGCGCGGCAGCACCCACCAAGCATGGCGAGGAGAATCATGCACGGGCCGAACAGAAAGGCAACACGACCTGGGCCATTCTGTTGCGTAAGCTACAAGCAAGCTTGACACGGTTCTGCTGCCTCCAAAGCTTCGAATCTCGGAGCGACGTCTTGTTTCAGGCACACATTGTGAGCAGCGCTTAAGCTTTGAGAACTCGTCGCGGACAGCATTGCAGCCGTATGCAGCCGTGCTGCCAAGCCAAAGCCCGAATGTGGCTTGTCGGAGCAGGTCGCGCTTGTCGCACACTTCGCCTTGGTTGCAATTGCACCCCACGGGCCCCACCCCTCTTTGGCAAACTCAATCGCTTCGTCTCTGCTGACATTCCGAGGCACAGGGTGCGGTGTGCAACACTGCCATGGTCAGCTCAGCGCGGGAGAGGATGCGGACCCGGGTGATGTAGCTGCCTCGCACTCCGACTTGGCAAACGAACTCTGATGCACGCCACAGTCGGTGGAAAATCTTCGTGTATTCGGCCCAGATGCCCACAAGCCCATCTGACACGTAGAGAAGAAACTTTCCCCCGGACAACCTTGCAGGCTTGCAGGACTCCGAATGACTCCGACTCATTGACGGGCAGAAAGGGTTCGTGAGTTCGTGCACCTGTAGAGGCCGGAGAGGTATCCGCCGGAGGAGTGCGCGGCCAGCGCTTGAATCGGCCAGAGCTGGCCTCCGTGCGTGTGTCCTGACTAGTCAGCCATATCTTCATATCGTTTGACCCACCTAGCACGGCCTGCGTAGTCATTAGGAAATCTTGTCGAAAATAGTTCGCAAAAAAACTCTACGACGGCATGGCTTTACTTCATGCTGTTTGCGATGCACCACTAGGACAAATACTTCGACCACAATTTCGGGTCCGCGCAGCTTCAGCAATGTCACCTCGTATGGCCAGTCGAATGGCTACTAATAACCATGACATGTTAAAGAGGTGACATGCTGCCACAGCCGAGGGTTCCAACAGTTTCCATCTTCGACCCACACAAGGATTGGGCAGATGGTTCCAAGTTCTTGAATGTTACGAATGGCCTGATGCTCTGTGCTGCGCCGTCTGTGAGCCTTAATCAAAAGCAAACTTTATCAAAGAAGCATGATTCGAAAATCGTGCTTTCCATTGAGCATCATTTCACGAAGTACTCGGGCATCCAAATGCCTGTTTGTTTCACGTATCACTTGCATGTATCCATGACGCATGCTCAAGGTTCTAGCAGGGTACGATCTACAGCTGTGCGCCAGCAGTTAGAAAAGAACCCTGCGTTGCCTGCGCTGCGAGGGGATACACGCCCAGGTTAAATGTGGTAGCTACCCGTTGGTACGCTCCAGATCAGTGGAAGCAACTGGATCCCCGGTGTGCTTCACTCAGGTGAACGTGACCGGTGTGTCTCTGGCACACTTCGCTCAGGCGAAGATATCCGGAAGAGAAATCTCCCGGGGCTCGATCCGCGGACAGCGCAATGGCTATCCACTTTGCTGTAGCTACAGGAAGGCGACCACCGGATCTGTTTAATGTGCAAACAAGTACTTTTGAACAGCTCTCTGCGAATCCCTCTGACGAGGACCGTACTACTCTGGATCTCCAGACAATTGCCATGAGAGTTCATCAAGAATCTCGGCTGTCACTAGATCCCCGAAAGGACGTGGCACGGTGTGTCATGCCGTCTGATGGTCCGTATGGGAGACCGCGTGATTGTTTGGCATACATATGAGTCGAGAAAAAAGTCCGAGTCCGAAGGCACCTGGGCCAGAGGAACTTTTGCATCGCAAGAAGGTGCCATGGTGTTGGTTGAAGTNNGTGGCATGATGTGGCCATTCCTCTGACGTCTGACGATGCAACAAGAAACTCATCTCAAGATGAGGCATTCGACCGATTTGGTGACAAGATCTTGGGCTGCGCTATACTGGATACTGCTATGAGCATGAGCTCTGTTACCTTTCGCTCACTTCAGGGAAGAGCGATTTCGTTGAGATCTCGCCTCACCTTACAGGCCTCGCTGCGTGTACCTATCGTGCAAGTCTCGGCTCGATTAGCCTGACCATATCATGATTCACCCAGTCATCCCCGCAGAATGGCCTCGAAATGCAGCACGAGCCCTTTGGCATTTCTGTGCTGAAGTTTGTTGTTGGCAGGATGACAGAGGCCACTTTGTCACCATCATGTATCCTCACATTCCATGGCGACCCTTCAATTCTCACGAACTTACCGTAACACCTGAAGGATCCTTGGACCGTTTGGAGTCACTAGCCGGTGGCTATGATTCCACAATGTTGTTCGATCCTCGGTTCTCTGTGTTGCGTTGTCCTAGTGCGTTGTTGGTAGCAGATACACCGATTTGCGAACGCTTGCTTGTCCGAGGATATCTTTGCGGATTTTGACGATGGAGCTTTGCGTGCATTGTGCTTGTGATCGGAACGGAATTCTGAAGCATTGCCTGTTCTTCCTTCTTCAGAAGAGTATCCGCTCTTAGCGCATAACTCAAAGGGAAGTTACCGCACATCGCACATTGACAAGAAGCTTCCGGATACCGAGTTGGAAGTGCACACTACCTCACTCACGACGCAGCTGCTCTGCGGCCGATGATAAAAAAATGTGAGGGTGCTTACTCTTCCAGACCTGGAGTTTGAACATTGCAATGTCTATAGGGGGACATGTGGAAAGACACTTCCTTTGGTTCATCATCATCCTGATGCAGTTGTGATTCTGTGGAACAAGGGTGAAAATGACCATGTCTTTTTCGTGACGATGTCGCAGCTCCTATGGAAGGATATGACAGCCGACACTTGGTCCATGGTTGTGCTTGGGAATGAGTCGAATTAGGGGCCTGGTGTTAGATTGGGTTTCACAGATCAACCAGCTCCTGCTCCTGATGCGCCGCCGCAACCTCCTGGCGCAAATGACGATGTGGACTATCCAGGTTACGACGATCCGCATGGTGAAATGCCTGTGACGATGAGGATATGCCGCCGCCTCAGGGTCAACAAAAACCGGATCTTGACGATGATCGAGCTTGGCTCTGGCGGTGATCCTATCTTGCCGCCCGGAGGCGGCGTGCAGGTGCCGGTACCAGGCAGCGCTGATGACTCAGACCTGGATATGCCTTATGATCAGTCTGGTGACGGCGAAGAACCTCCTCCAGCGACGGGACCTGGTTATGGCCCGTCGCCGGATGAGCCGCCTTCCTATCGAGTACCATGACGAGCCACCTCCTCCCGCAGGTCCGCCCGGTGCTTCTGGGCCTGCTCGACAATTTGCAAACCCGCATCGAGCGTTGAGTCCACCTATACCGTGGCCCACACCACCCATACCAATCAATCAAACCAGGAACGGGAGCCGGACCAAACGACGAAGAACCAGGTTCATTACGAACCGGGGAGTCGCCCGAAGAGGGACCCTTCTTCCCCGCCGACTGACCGCGCAACAACATAACCGGAGGCCCTGTATGGTGCGCAGTTCGCGACTTGGCCTTTGAACATCCTCAGGATGCGTGCCCCGAGCATGCGTGTCTGACGCAGTTCCACCCGAAGGCGGCCGAAGACTTTGGCGGAACCGGGGAATTTCCTCTTCATCAAGCCTCATCCTGGAACCCACCCCGGAACCTCCGGGTGCCAGATGATGGCGAGGACAGTCTCTGTTGACTACCGTGAGGAGAGCTTGCTTGCTCTTACTGCTGGTGACGACGATGCGTTGATCCGTTTGCCGAGGAAGTTTCATGTGCCTTGGAGAAGGGTCGAGAGCTTGTCCGGATCAGGATGAAACCAAAAGCGAAGGATGATGGCACGAAGTTCTTGAGACAGTGCATCAACTCATGATTCCTGTCATATCTTGGAAGAGACTACTTGCAGCTTGCAGACGCGAAAACAGGCACAGTTTACATTCACTAATTCAACTCACTTCAAAACCCTCCAGATGTTGAGACAGCAGAAGCGGTCGGCTGCGGAACCACTACTGTAGCGGACAGAGACAGAGACAGAGCGAGAGGTGACGTGACAATGGCAAACTTCACACTGACCACTACCCAAGGCTTTAACAAGGCATGCCATTCGTTGCAAACTGACGGGGTCCGGAAAGCTGGAGCTGCACATTGCTTTCGGCCGCGGCATCAGCATGGGGCCATGGGCGGTGGGCCACCAACACAGTCGGCAGGTCCGGCTGGCGACCATCCCTCGGACATTCGAACCATCGCAAGGTTGCCTCTTGATTTTTGTGCAGGTCTGAGTCCGAGGCAAAGCCTTCTTCAAGTCGGGTGCGCCCAAAGTGTCATCAACACCTGCCAACACAGCGAGACTCGTTCACTGGTGTTCTTGGCATTGCTTGGTGGCGAGGGACGCACGCTGTGGGGCTGTGGCACTACGCGGTATTACACGAGGCAGCGTTCTGCAAGCCCTCACAAGTCTTCTGTCCCAGGTTTGTGCTGCGACAGCATGGGGTGTACATATCCGAGTAGAAGAGTCCAAAGAGTTCAAAGTGTTGAGTGTGAGCACCGGGCCCAGCTTGGACCTACCCTGCTTGCCAAAGAATCCCACTGCCGATGCGTCGCTGTCTCAGAAATGTTAATCTAGAGTCATCAGGTCCCCAACACTCAATTTATATTGTTGCCCGTCTTCCAAAATCTAATCTCGGCTCCTCGCACTGCACAAAGCAGCCCTCGAAAGGGCAGGCCAGCAACGATGGAGCAGCTGAGACAATTCTTCGGTTTTCGTTCGTCGATCTGCAAACTCCCCATCGCAGCCTTGACCACTTTCTTTCTTGAGAAACTTTGAACCCTTAGTAACTAACTGACCTACCGGGCTACGCTGTTGGTTGAAAGCAGACACACCGCAACCTCCGATCCTCCTAACCAAGTTCTGTGTGAACATGCATGCACCCTATGTCGTATGTATGGGTATACCGTCTACCTGAACGGAGCAGGTGTGACAAGAGCCAGGAATCCAGCCTGCAAGGGTAATGAGCTTGGGTCCGGTCAGTGGGAGCTCCACATGCCTGAAATGTACGGTTCCTGTTTCTCCACTGCATGGAACCCGAGGCAAGCCCCTGCACAGTTCGTCCGGAGTCCAAGGGACGAATTGTTCAGCGATGCAAAGCCATGTCGCTGCCAGTACTCTGTCCACGCTTCGGCCTGTCGCAAAAGGGTGTAGAGTAGGAAAGCCGGAAATGTCTGCGGCTTCAATTCATTTGCCCTGCTCCAGGCCTCTCCACGCTGCCCCTTCTGCCCTTTGTAATTGTAATACTCGTGGTTACCTCAAGCAGACTCAAGCAACATCTGCTTTCTGCATTGCATCTCTGTGCAAAAACTCGAGTGCCTCTTTGCAGATGCTTACACGATGCATTAGTCATTAGCGCACATCACTGTTAGTTGACCATGTGCAAGCCACAAGCTATCAAGTTATGAACACAACCGATTGTTTGTGGATCAACTTCGACGACCACTAGTGAACAACATCCTCTACCCATGTGCCAGTTCGGATCCTTGTGGCCAGTTTGCGGAAGCTTAGCAGCCAAGCCGCCAGGAACATAGTATGCGCCATCTGGGGCAGCTGATGCCAGGTTCGCGAAGGCCTCCATATTGTGCTCACGAAGTTGCACCGATCCTGGTCCAGGGGCTCAGAATGACAGCCTTGAACATGTTGGCCGAGCTTCCCCGCAGCGCACTCTTTGCGAGTGGTACATGTGCTTGCCAGGAAAAAGCAGCAAAGAAAAGGAGCAGCAAGGCAGCCTTCTGCAATGTCGCCGTTGAGGACAATCGTATTGCAGCCCCTGCAGTCTGACAGGCATTCTGGAGAAATTGTGCTGAGATGATCGATGTGTCGAGCGGCAGTTGTGACACACCCTCTGCTATGTACCTTGCATTGGACCAGAACACGCACATGCACATGATTCTGGCACAGGAATGTGCATCAACTGGATCGCAGACCAGCCAGACTCAAACAGCAACATTGCTTCAACTGCACTCGGTCGACATGAAGGACGAAAACAGTCTACGAAACTGAAGTGGCCCAACTGCTCATGAGAACCCACAACAGCAGGTGAAAGCCTTCAACACTCAGTACATGCCAAGGACTTCCTGGCGTAGCCAGGTTTCCAAGTAGCCTCAATTTGTCTGTGCCGTAGATAGGTCCAGCATGTAGGTCACTGAGCTGGCAGAGGCTATATCCTTGGCTGACATGGCCACAGTGTACGGTCCTACTCATGCCTTCACCTGTCTCCGAACCTGACTTCACGCGTCGCATGTTCAGCTTGCCTCGAGAGGTTTAGCGGCTCTGCTGCTGGATGCGATGCTATATCGCGATGATTCCATGATTTTCCATTGCAAGCTTCCTTCCGCAGCCTCAGGAAGCCCGGGCACCTGCAAATGTTCAACACAGATGCAGAGTGACGACGACGCACATGTGCGGGCTTGCACGAAGAAACAAGGCCTCCAGGTGCAGCCTCTCGACATGCGGTCCTTCTAAACCACAGCTGGATTGAAGTTTGGACGTCCAGACTCAAGCATTTGAAAAAAAATATGTCCTCCAAAAAGGCTCAGGAACCCCAAGGCGCTGACTAAGCAGAGGGTAAAGTGATTGAGCACACGCTCATGTTGCCAGCCTGCCTGCGCAAGTCTGCGAAGAAAGGATAACCAGGCACGCTTCGCACCCACCTTTACATGGAAGGAGTCCAGCGCCACGGCGAAAAGCCTGCTGCAGCTGTCTCTCTCCCCAGGAATCCTATGGCTGCAAGAAAGGCCTGATGTTGATGCAATTGAAGGTGGCGACCTCGTTTTCCAACCCGTAACGGCACAAGACAGACGGGTGCCTGATGGAGGCACTGAGCCCCTTTCCCAATCTGTCTTTTCCAACCCCCTCCAGTTTTTCTAGCTCCTGAACCTGTTGAACAAGCTTCCCGTGTGTCACTCCGTCTGACAGCTGAGATTTCCCAACTGCCACCATTGCACTATGTCAGGTTTAGAACATGCTCTATCGTGCTCAGCCACAGCGTAGAAGCACGCCAGGTAGGATCCGCTTTCCGACATCCATGTGTCCTCGTCGTTTGCAGCAAAAGTGCTGGCAGTACTCGCGTGGTGGCTTACTATCTTGCTAATGGATACGTGTGGATGTCTCCGGTACAACGCTCCTCTCCATCTCTCGACGTGAGCACACAGTAGATTGCAAATCCACCAGTGCCAAAGAGAAGGACCTCGCAGAACAACACACATCGACAGCGAAAACTCTGCATGTTGTTAAGATGATGTCCGTTGCTCATGCTGCTTCAGCCCGATGCTGTGGCAAGCCTTCGACACATAACACGCATTCTCTGGAATCCAAAGCTTTGCGCGCAATGATTATTCCGCAACAACACGTACACCTTGGCATCAGTGCAGGCAAGGTCGCTGTCACGAGGAAGTCTCGGATCGACCACTTGCCTTTTGGCCGAGAGGTCCACCAAAAACCCACTGACCAGGGAATAAGCAACACTGTACCTCGACTGTGGCTGTTGGATGCTCTCGTCAACCAAACTTACAGAACCCTTGAATCTCGATCCGAGAGGCATACTGCCATCACGGCCCCAAGGGCTTTGTCAGAGGGCGGATCTATGAGCTGTAGCTTCTTCGGCTTGTCCGGAAGCAGGGACTTCTCTAAGTTCACCAGCGCAGCAGTCTCGGTCCAGCTGACCAAACACTGGGTGCATCTGGGTACACAAGAGGGCCTACTTCTTCAAATCGCAGAAACATCAAGCGCAACGGTTGTCTATCTCTCTGATGTGAATGAGCCGTGGCGAAGAAGAGGACATGTTTGTCGAGTTGCGCACGCGAAATACACATGTTAGATGGAGCCGTATCCCGCACTAATTGAGGACCAGGCCAATAGCCCAAGCCAGATGACAGCTGCTGCGGTCGTCCGACGGATTCCCCGTTGGACCAATACAGCAGCAACCAGTCTCTTGGCACGTCTATACCTGAACATATATGGTGGAAGAGCACAAAGAAAGAAAGGAGATAACTATGCCCGGCAGCGTACATGCCAAGTTCATTTGATGGTACAACAGCAAACTGCCAAGCTACATCCATCGCATCATTCTCGTCTCTCCAGCGTGCAGCAGCGGCTGCGCCAATCCAGAAGCAGGCGTGCGCTGCGCGCTGGTTCGTAGCATGCGAAGTGCCTTACAACCTCGTGCTAATGGAAACCTTTCTTCGCAAGTTAAGGTTCGTTCTGTTTCCATTCAACCACAGAATGAGCCCGTTTCCTTTCCTGGTTTTCGCACCTTCCTCACACTTTCTACGCCTTGTGGCAGCAAACGGCAATTGATGCCTTGGTGGCTCTTTGCTTGAGCCCAGCTGAGTGGGAAAGTCTTCAAACCGATCTTTAACATGTATACGCTTGCAATCTCATAGTCCCATCCCGCCTGCACAGGCGTCTTTGGGTGCACGACCCGAGTCCGAGCCTACATGACGAGACGACTCATTGCGACCTGCTGTCGGTGCCCGGCGCCTTCGAGAAGTCACTCGATGCCCTGACGGCACCACTGGCCTTTCACTCTTGAAGGGAAGCCACTCTCTCTCCTTTCGATGTTTTGCGGGGGCCTTCCAAGAAGTCATAAACTGAAGCAAGGCATCCTGGCACGACTCGGGGTCGACGCCGAATTGCTTCCATGCTCTGGGAGCCCTGCACGGCTGGCCACCGGCAGGGCATCAATTGCTTCCCGCCGCGAGACACGGCCCATCCTGCAAACGGGATCAGATGCCAGAAAACCCACAGAATCTCTCAATGCTAGGCAGTCCCTGAACAATGATACGTTCGTTGATAAGGGCGTGCAGACGTTGTTGATTGGGCCTGGTGTCAGGGTACTGGCCATGGTGCTCCGAAATGCGAAGCGAGTCAAGGTGCGTGTCCCATGATGTTCCAGTTTAGTGCCTCTCAACCAAACAGCACATCCCACCCAGCTGCCATCAGTAGCCCAGGTGGTCCTCTGGAGCCAAGATACCAACCTCCATGGCTTGACAGCTTGTCTGCTGCTCCTTGCGACTCCTTGCTCGAATCACCAACTACAACCAGTGCCTCTTCAGACGTTGTCGAGCAGGCCCACACAGGGATCCCTCAGACAGGCATCCCGGGCAAGACGTGGCAGCAAGTGAGACAGACGATAACGGCAGAGATCGTTGCCAACTCCATCGCAGCCTGATTGACCAAGTACAACATTGTGTCACTTACAGCAGTTGCAGCAATTGCCAGTGCTGGCCAAGATGCTTCGCTGCCTTCGGCTCAATCTCGTCGTCGCCGCCGGTCTTCTCGTCGTCGATGTCGTTCTGAAATTTCTACTGCAAGCAAAGAGGCAACTCGAGGGGCCTCGCACCTCGCGGTCGCTCCATGGCGAGGCAGAGGCCGAGACGGAGGCTGCTCGCAGAGAGGGCGACGAAGTCGACGGACGGCAAGACCTCGGAGCAGCTCAGCGCAGCTCGCCAGCGCAGCTCGACACCGCTGAAACACTCAAACTTAGGCGGCTGCGGTCATGGCGATGGCAAGACTTGCTGTGGCCACACACGGCCACTAAATCTGAAAAGGCTTTGCGAGCCCGAATCTGCGCGGTCAGAGCAGTCAGCGAGAGAGAGAGAGAGAGAGTGCCTTTTTGAAGCTCTCCTCAAGCCTCCGATCCAATACACAAGACCCAGCATCACTTGGAGGAACCCAATTGCTGACAGGGGTTCAGGCTACCCAACTTCAAGATGTTCTCTACAAGGATCCAAAGTTCAGACCGCTCTGTGATTAACGCCTCCGGATACTGATCCTTGAACTCTGTACATATTCGGTATGTTTGCATCCAAGAGCTTGGCAGCCTCTTCTATTCTAAGCTTCTACAAAACCTAGGTTGTGGCAGCAGACAGAGAGAGGGAAAGAAGGCGACAGAGAGAGACGGCGAGGGAGACAGAGAGAGAAAGAGCGAGAGAG